CAACAACATGAAGAATGGAGTGGAGTCATGACAGAGATACAGAAGCTGGGAGATGAGATTACCAGAATGGACCAGGAGAAAGATAATGACAGCAGGCTAGTCCACCTTTCACACTGCTGCCAGAACACTCTCTTTAACACAACTGTGGGTGCACACATACACATACATATATGCATACACACATATGTGCCTATACACAGGCCATGGTACTTTGGGTGTTAATTAGGACTTGTTGGCTGCAAATTGTACAGAAACAATTTGATCTAATTTAAGCAAAAGAGGTGCTTGTTGCTGGGAATCAGGGAGACCAGACTCACAAGTCCTAGGAGTATGGATGCCTTAGCATTTTGAAGAATGGGCTAGGAACTAGGACCTGAATAGCCATCATAAACTTTGATAGCACCCTCTTCTCTTATTTCTGCGTCTCTTAGCATATCTACTTTGTTCTCTTTCTTCGGTCCAGTTTTTCTGATAATGGGATAGAAGATGGCTTTCTTCACAGCCTCCCAGTTTTTACATCTTCAAGAAACCAGCCCAATCCAAACTAAAATCTATTCTGAATTCTGTATATCTGGGAGATGAGCAGGTAGGTCTTCTGGGGCTGTCAGGTTTGCCTAGGGAAGTGGAGTCACATAGTACAAACATCCCTGTGTGTGACTGTGAGCTAGACAGATACCCTAAAGAAGTTCACTGAACATCCTACTTCTTGGGTGCCTACTCCCCCTCCCCCACAACACATTTATTTATTTTTTCCTGTTTATACATTCTAAACCTGTTTCAAGTTATGTGTTCTGACTATCCCAAATACATATTCAGTCACACTTCTTCCACAGTTATATCAAGTCATGTCACTCAGAGACAATGATAAAGCCGTTCATTTTCCAAGTTCATTACCAAGCCTCTAGGTATTTTCTACTCCTCTTCTGTTTTGGTCTTCATCCAATTGAAGTATGCTGTCAGTGGACTCTGATAAAACTGACTTATCCTACACATCTGATATATAATTAAAGAACTAAGATAGTAAACTGCAGTAAAAACTATTAATCATAGGAGAAAAAGGAAGAAATTTCCAAGCCAGCACCATGAATTGGTTGCCAGTTTACAACACAGACCATACTCTACTGGAAGAGGATTATAAATGGAATTACAATTTCAGTGAATCTCATTCCATCAGTTTTACTCAAGTCTTTAGTTGTAGAATGAATGCCTACCCCAGATTCTGTCCTTTGGATGGATTGTCCTCATCTGGTGGGCTTTAGGTCATCTCTGGGAAGAGGAGCATTGGGAAGACACCCCTGACACTCCTGCAAAGGCTGTGGCTTTAGCAATCCCTTTCTGGCTAGAGCTGGGCCTGAGAGACCAAGATTTCACTGTGTTGGTTTGAGTGGTTATAGTTCATGTGTCACTGCCTTGTAATTTTTCTCTAGCTTCATTCTGTAGGACCTTTCTTGGCTACCAGTTTCCTTTCTGAGAATTCTTGTCAGGTCAGTCTCTGTGAGTCCTCAGTCCTGCTAGAACCCAGTAGAAGGACCCTGGGAAGCTGATCTTCCTTGTTCTTAGCATCAGCTACTGATGGAGACCAATGGACTCTTCCTAAAACTGTCCCAATCCCCATGATACATGTTTGAGTATTTATTTATAATTCCTGAGTTCAGATGGTGAGGGATATCAAGTTATCCAAGTGTATTTGGTCCATGAGTTCCAGGGAACATGTAGCAAGCATTCAGATAGCGAGGGATGCCTGTCTATGTAAAGCCTCTAATGTGACTTCCCCAACTACAGAAGAGTTATGTACATCCTCCCATTGAGAAGAATAAGCAGGTTAGAAGAGCCAAGATCTTTTAAGAAACTGTGATGAGGGGATGTTTTAGAAGGAAAAAGCCATTAGGGGGAGCCTGTGTGTCCTACCTTGGGTTTCTGTCCATCAGCATTGGAAACAAACTCTAGGTCACAGCGCAAGAATGATGTCACCGCCACTGTATTCCCAGGTACCAAGACCCAAGGCACCTGTGAACTTGGGAGTACAGCTCAGACAGGCACAGAGTCCCCAAAGTAAGCACAGGGGGCCATGCTTAGGTATCAGAGACCTGACAGCCCAGCCTCATGCAGCACACTTGTGTGAAGGTCCAGCTTTGCGGATGCATGACGCCTGTGTGAAGGTCCTACTTTGCACAGGAAAGAGTAACTAAAACTATGGGAAAATGTCTAGCCCTTGTACAGCAAGGGGTGTTGCATATTCTGTCAAACATTATCCTATTATTTTATCAGGGGATTTTAGTACTAGTAATTTAAGTGTCTAACACTTTTTTTAGCTCATGCTTTACAGATTTTAATATGAGTGTTTTTTAAATAATACAGTATTCTATCAAAGTAGACTTTGGCTTGAGGTGAATAAAATATTGGGATTTTTTTCATATTTTCATAATAGAATGGGGGCATTGTGTTGTCAAATTTAAAATGTATTCTAAAGCATTGAAAATTGTAAAGTGTGGTATTGTTGGAGAAAGTGACAGGTCAATGGAACAAAACAGAAGTGCAGGAACAAGTCCAAATATATGTAATAATTAAATATATGAAAAAGAGATTTTAAATCAGTGGTTACCATTATGAAAATAAGTTAGCATTCTATCCTTCTTTACAATAAAATTAATTTCACATTAATATTTTAATGTAAAAAATAAATTAAAATTTGAGAGCATAATAGAGGTGTTTTCTAAGTTATGTCCCCCTCAGGAGTAGAAACTGTAAAATAAAAAGATTATATAATTTCATCAAATAAAAATATTTAAACATTCTCTATATCAAAGAACCTTATAAACAAAGTTAAAAGACCACACATATGACTAACAAAAAGTTAATATCCTGAATACATGATAAATCAATAAGAAAATAGTGAATAACCCAATACCAAAAAAAAAAAATGGGCTAAAGACATCAGTGCCAGAGAAGAATATGCAATACCACCCTACAGTATATTTAATTTGTAATTACAGATTATGATCTACTTCTCTCTGTACTTTGTGTTCTTTCTTTTGGTGTGGTCGTCTCATATTCTGTCCTAGCTATAACTTTATATGGTTTTAAATTAGGTAGGCAGATATCCTCTCTTTTTTTTTTTCAAAGTTTACTTCAATGTCCATGCCCATTCTTACAAATAATCTTTTTTTCCAAGTTCTTTAACCTTCTTGGGAATTAAGTTGAAATGATACTAAACCTAAAACTTATTTGTGGTAGAATTGACAGCATTATAATGTTCAGCCTTCCTATTCAGGAGCACAATTTTTTCCATATATTGAAATTGAGCTTAAAACAATTAAATCATCATGTTATTCCCCTACTCAAAAATCTTTCCAGGCCGAAAGATTTTTCATCATCGATTTTTCAAATTCTTTTCCAGCTTCCTTAACACAGGTTCTAATCTTCAGACCAGCTAGTTTTCTGTCTTCCAGCCAGACTATTTCTTGGCATTTTCCCACATCATTGCTTCTGTCTGCAAAATCCCTTCCATCCTCAAGCCTGTCTCCAGGTTGTACCTGCTCAAGGCACATGTCCTTGACAAGACTCCATCCCACAGGAAGGACTTCCTCCCCTATATCCATAACATATATTGTATTTCCCACTCAGAAGTTATATTACTTTGTAATGTTTATTCTGTTATTTTTCTAATTGCTTTTTGGTCTCCTGTTTATTTTGTAAGCTTCTTACAGACAACAATTATGTTTCCTATTTCTTTATGGCCTTGGCTGAACTATTAGGCACATATGGCTACTGAGTGCTTAAAGTGTGACTCATCCAACTGAGATGTATAAGCACAAAATATGCTGGGTTTCAAGACTCAGTACAAAAGAATGAGTTAATTTTTATATTGATTAAATGTTGAAAGGATAATATTTTAGATATAGTTGGTTGAATTAAAATTAATTTCACCTATTGCTTTCTGGGTTTTTTAATAGAAATTTTTCAACTATACCCAAGACTCACATTTCTGACTTGAATTATGTTTCAGGAAATAGAAATTAATTAAAGAAGAAACTCATTGTTAGGAGAAATAAATGCTAGCTCCAAAGTGCAGTCTTCTGTCTTTGTGAAATGCAAGATCTAAAATAAGTGAAACCAAAAGATCTAACACTTACAAATTACAAAAAAGGGACTTTTAGGAACCACTTAAGTGATTAACGTCATCTAAATTTAAAATTTTCACCATTAAATGGTAAAATCTCTGTTTCAAAACTAAAAATGTTTTCTATTAAAACCAAATGAATAAGAGGATGAGCAATGGAAAGGGCAAAGAAATAGTAAATGTACTTATGGCCAAATTATTAGCAAACTCATAGATTAGAGAAGGTTACTTCTCAGTGAGAGGCCATGTAGGATATTGGGAACAGCTGGCTTTTTCCTTCTTCTTTGCCTCCTCCCTTTTCTTCCTAGTTCTCCTCTTAGTTTTTTCCCTTTATTTTCTTCCTCTCTTTTTTAAAAAATAAAATTTCTATCTTCATATATCTTTCCTAACTTATTATAATGCTAGATTTAAGCACATTTAAATTAAGGTATATTGCTCATTTAATTCTTTAATTCACTAAAGATTTATTTTTTAATATCATATGACATTGTAAGGAAAAATTCTTTACAGATAGCCAACTATTTATTGAGTACACCATTGTTTTCTTGTTGATTTGTAATGACAGTAATAATTATTGAGAGCTTGCTATGGGCAAGGCAATGTTTTGAAAGCTTTGTCTAAACTCCTGCTTGTGTTACTTTAATAAAGATTTTCTTCATGTTTAGACATTTGAAATAATTTCTTTAATGTTTTCTTTAATTAAGCTATTTAAAAAATACCATGTAAATTGCTTTTCCACTTGGGTCCCAATTTCTTTTTCCCTGGGAGTTGAAAATCTCTCATAAAAACAAGTGCCTTCCTTCTACTTTAAGACTAGTGGAGGTGTTATTGAGACCAAGAAAACCACTTTTCCATTTCTCATCAGGGATGCTACTTATAGGTGTCTTTCAGGTTGCAGAAAAGATGGAAAAAAGGACATGTGCACTTTGCCCGAAAGACCTTGAGTGTAGTGTCCTGTACTTTGCACGATCAGAGAACATAGCTGCTCACGAAAATTGTTTGGTAAGTTACTTGAAAACACCTGAATTCTTTTATGGAAGGACATGTCAAAATAGAAAAATGGTACTTTGAATACAGAGAATGAAGAGTTGGCCATGGGTTGGGCTTTTAAGTGGGAATTTGCGGAGCACATTCTTCTTACTTTTTAAATTGTTTTAGATCTTAGTACCTTAAGATTACATTTATTTATAACTGATACAACACACAAGAATTATGAAAAAGCTTTTGAAAACAAGTGTTAATGAAATGTTTCAAGTACAACAGATACCCATAGACAGTTCAACCAAATTTGCAAAATCAGGACATTATATAATATTTGTTTTAGCTTCACATTTTCTAAAGAAATAAAACACAGATAGTTAAGGACCCTCTACTCCTCTCTCTTCCCTTCTCTCTATTTATTCTGAGAGATAATTGCTGTCACAAACTGGTGTTTCTTATCTTGTATTTTTAATTTTATGCTCCCACCACATATATTTAAATATTTATAAACAAGATATGATTGTTTTGCATGTTCTTGGACTTTATAGAATTTCTCTCAAATCCTGTGGATCATTGAGATTTACCTATGGTAATAATAAACAGAGCTCTGCCTTTAATTTTAAATGTTATAGTATTCCATTTCATAACTAAGTATTCTCCTGGCCAAGCAGCATGATGTGAGGGAGGCAGGGGCTGTGCTCCTGCCAGGGGGACAGCTTTCATCTCCCCAGGTTCCTATTTTCCCAACACCTCCTGGCTCAGTTCCAGCCTTGGAGCCCTCTCACCTGTTGGTGAGTCTACAGTCCCTGAAACCAGGTGGGACGGTTCCCAACAACAAACATCCTTGTGTAGGTCTCCTAATTCATGGAAGAATTTCTCTGGTGTAGGGACATAGCAAAAGCAGCATCCCTGGGTGCAGGAAGGGAGCCTTGTGCACCTCACTGTATGTTCTAAATAGCCCTCTACATTAGACTTCTACCATTGTTTCAGAGTCATTTCTCTTCTTCCTTGCCAGCACTCGATATTATGAAATTTTAATTTTACCCTCTTTGATGAGTGTGAAGGTGTCAACCAATGGGTCATTGCTGCCAATTCAATGCCAACAGGAATCCCCAGTTTGGGGTGTGGTGAAGGAGGAAACTTTATTTTTTAAACAGCTCAATTGTGTTACAGCTCAATTATGAAATAGCAGAGCTGTGGAACAGCACTGCCGTGAGGCAGCCCTGAGACAAGGCCCTCTTCAGTTAGACAGCTCTGCTCTGCCTGCTTTGCTCTAATAGGACATCTTCAGTGTCTTCAGTCTTGGATGGAAAGGGAAAATAATGGTCTCCAAACCAGAGACCTATACAGAAAGAACTTCCTGGCCCTAGTCCCTGATTGGTCCATCCTCATGCAGTTGAGAATGCCAAATCCTCACAGTTTAATTGGTCCAAAAGCACCATCCTACCCTTGGTTGGTGTGGCTCATTTGATTGGAGTGCCATCCCGTAAACTGATTGAGGGTTCGACCTGGTTCAGGGCACATTTCTAGGTTGCAGGTTTGGTCCCCTGTCAGGATACATGCAAGAGGCAACTGATGGTTGTTTCTCTCTTATACTGATGTTTCTCTTTCTCTCTCCCTCCCATCCCCTCTCCCTAAAATCAATAAGCATGTCTTTTGGTGGGGATAAAACAGACAGACAAACAAACAAACAAACACTGTCCTGGTTGGTCAGAATGGAGCTCCTCTGATTGGTTGGTGAAGATGCAAACAGATATAGCTGCACAGCTCTGATTGGATGGGGAAAACCTCAGTCCTATTGGTTGAAATAGGATTCCAGGAATTCCTTTATCAGGGCTGGCTCAGATGGCAAAACACAGTGCAGACAGACAGTTCAGTGCATGAGACAGACAGCTTAATGCTGGCTCTTCCCTGAAGTGAGGTTTACATGAGGAGACCCTGCTTAGAAATGGCTGCTACGCTCTGGGTTTTTTGTGTGTTTTTTTTTGTGTGTGTGTTTTGTTTTTTAAATTTTGAGCCTGCTTGGCCATCAGGATCCTTTCTTAGTAGGTATCTTCATTCTGAGTCTACAAAGGTCTCTTATTTTCACCTACAGTTCTTAGATTACTACTGGGCTTGAGCCTTGTTTGCTGTGCTAATGTGTGGTTCTATTTTTCACTTCTGTGATGTGTTCATGGACTACTTTTTATCTTCGAGATGTTGGTTTTGTTTATATGTACTTATTTACATATAAAAAATTGTAATGCTTCACTATATATGTTACTTTTAATTTTATTTATGGTGTTTTCTATCATACAGAAGTTTATAATGTAATTAAATTCACCATAATTTTTCTTTATAATTTGTGAGATTATTTTTTCCCCTAAGAAATCCTTTTCTGTACTAAGATTCTATTTTTTTCACAAAAGTTTCAAAATTTGGCTTTTCTCATACCTTCTTAGTTTAACTGGATTCTGGTATAGATGTACTTTTATTTTTATATGATTTTTTCCAGCACTGTTTATTGAATAATCTATCCTTTCCTCACTGATTTGTAATAATAATACTGATAACTATTATTATTGTTCAATGTTCACTAGGTGTAAGGTAATGCTCTGGAAGCTTAACCTACATTAAACTATTACTCCTCATAACAGCCTTAAGGAATAGGTATTGTTATACCCAGAGATAAAACTACTGAGTCACAGAGAAGTTAAGTCACTTGCCCAATGTCACAGAATTCTCACCCAGACTTTCTAAGTCTAAAACCCTCATGTTCATCCAATGTGGTGACGATATAGTATATGTATACAGATGTGTTTCTGGCTATTGTGTTCCATTGGTCACTTTGTCTATTGGTGAACTGGTACAACACTATCTTAATTACTATTATTTTAGATAAACCTTGGCTACATTTTTGTGTGTCTGTGCTTTGAATTTTGGAATCAGCTTACCAGGTTTTATAAAAATTCCCATTAGTATTTTAACTAGAACCCCACTGAATTTATAGATCAATTTGGGAAAAAAATAGTCATCCTTATGGTACATGAGTCCTTCTATCCATTAACAGGTTCTGTCTTTCCAATTATTCAGGTCTTCTTTTATGAATTTTAGAAATATTCAATAATTTTTTTCTATATATGTCTACACCTTCAGGTTAGGCTTATTCCTGGGTTTGTTTTGTTATTATTTTCCTAATACCTTTTTAAAATGAGCTATTACTAGTACATATAAAAACTATTCAATTTTTATTTATTAATCTTATATAACAGTCTTATAAACATATTAATTTTAAAAGTGTCTAAATTCATCTGGATATTGTGTTTGGACAAGCCTCATCTGTAAATAAAGATGATAGTTTTCCTTTTAATTTTTGGGCCCTTCAATTTCTCTTTATTGTTTTATTCTTCTAGAACATTATGTTATAATAGTGATTAGAAGCTTTTATTTATTTATTTAGTGAAGCTTTTAAAGTAAGGAGCCTTGTCTTGTTTCTTATATTAATGGGATGCTTCTAAGGTTTTAAATTTGTGTATACTTTTTTTAATACTTCACTTTATTAAAATAAGGACATTTCCTTTTATGTCTAGCTTACTAAAAGTTAAATATTGAATATTATGAAAAGTTACACATACAGTACAAAGAATTTTTTGTTGGAACCATTTAAAATTAAATTGGGATACTTTTCTCAAATACTTCAGTGTGTATTTCCTGCAAACAAGGATGTTCTTTCACATAATCATGATATAACCATCAAAATTAGGAAATTAACATTACTACCACCAGATGTTTAAACCCCTTAGGTTTCATGTAATGTCCTAATAACTTTCTTTATAACAAAGGATTCTAATTCATGGGTTCCATATGGTTTTCATGTCTCAAATTTTCTTTTTTTAATTTGTTAGTAATATGTTACGTGCTTATTTTCTGCTGTTAAGCCATTCTGACATCAATATTTTGATCATGATATTTTATTCTAATATACTGTTAATGTTAACTTGTTATTTTTAGTTAACTTCATTGGTATAATTTATATAAAACAAAATGCACCTGTTTTAAGTGTACAGTTCGGAGAGTTTTGTTTTTTTTTTAAATCCTCACTTGAGGACATGTTTATTGATTTTAGAGAGAGAGAGGAAGGGACAGAGAAAGAGAAAGAAACATCGATGCAAGAGAGAAACATCGATTGGTCGCTTCCCGTACACGCCGACCGGTGATTGAACTCGCAACTTAGGTATGTGCCCTGACCCGGCATGAACCTGCAACCTTTGATGTACGGGAGAAAGCTCCAACCAACTGAGCCACCCGGCCAGGGCCAGTCCGGAGAGTTTTAAGACATGTATTTACTAATGAAACCACCACCACCATGAAGATACAAAACATTTCCATTACTGCAGAAAGTTCCCTCATGCTTCCTTGCATTCATTTCCTTCCTACCCCCAGTCCCTATAGGTTGGTCTTGTCTTTTCTTGAATCTCAATGTGAAAAGAATCCTACAGTAGGTATTCTTTTGTGTCTGGCTCTTTTTGTACAGTGCAGTATTTAGTCAATACAGATTCTTCCATGTTATTGAATGTATCTGTATTTTTTTTTATTCCTGCATAGTATTCCATTGTATGGCTGTATCTCAATTTGTTTATCCATTTACCTGTTGATAGACATATGTGTCATTTCCATTTTGGGGATATGAGGATAAATCTGCTATGAACATGTATATGAGTCTTTGTATGTGGGCTTATCCTTTTATTTCTCTTAGATGAATACCTATAAGAGGAATGCTGGGTCATAAAGTAAGTTTATGTTTAAATTTAAAAGTGATTGCATCATTTTACACTTCTACTAACAATATGTAAGGGTTTCATTTGTTCCATATCCTTGACACTTGGTATTTTCAGTCTTTTTAATTTTAACAAGTCTAGTGAGTATATTTTGGTATCTTAGTGTGGTTTTAATTTGCCTGAGGATTATTGATATTGAGATTTTCTTCATGTGCTTATTAAACAGTTCTTTCTGTAACTCTTTCTATGAAGTGTCTGTTCAAATGTTTTGCCCATTTTTAATTGAATTGTTTGTCTTATTATGAGTTGTAATAGTGTTTCCTATATTCCTGATTTTGAATATTTTCTACCAGTCTCTGACTTGCCTTTTTGTTTTCTTATCAATGACTTTCAAAGAACAAAAAGTTTTAGTTTTGAGGAAGTTGAACTTACTAACTTTTCTATATAGTTTCTGTTTTTTCTAAGAAATCTTTGCTTATATGCCAGTATCACAAAATTTTTGTTCTTTGTGCCCTTTGTTACTTGAGCATATGTGTAATGTTCATCTTTAATTTGGAGGTAGGTTGGATTCTTTTGGTTTCAAGTAACACAAAGAAATAAAAGGGGCTATGTGATAAGGTTGCTGGGGCATTTCGTGGCTCCTGAAAGCAGACATGAAGGCAGGTCTAAGAAACAAGCACTGGAAAGCCATTAGGAACCCAGGATGTCCTTTCTAGCCCTTGTATTTGTTTTTTCCTCTTTGCAGACTGGCTTACTCTGACCATGTGGTTCAGAGCCTCTTCTACTTTTCTAGGATAGGGAAACTGGTAGTTCCAGCTTGGGGTCAGAGCCACAGCTAGGTCCAGTTAGCCATTGGTGGTTGGGGTTCTGAAATAGAAAACATGCCTGGGGATTGGGGCCACTTCCAAAGAAAAGCAGGGTGGCTTGTGGTCTCATCACACACCCCAAAAAGTGGTCACTGTTTTACTACCTTCCACTCAGGGTGAGTACTTTTTTGTACAATTTTCTGACTTGTAGCTTTCACTATTAATCTGTGCCTTCTCTGGGCTTTTTCATTTTCCCAATCTGCAGCTGTATTCTTCAGCACTTGTGGAATGTGAGGATCATGATCCATGTAATTATGATAGAAGTTTTGATGTGGAAGCAGTAAAGAAAGAAATCTATAGAGGAAGGAGGTTGGTAAGTATAAGTGATTTTATTGCTCATACAAGAAGAACAGACCCTTGAAGGTACCTTAAAAAGAAAGCCTATTTGATTGATAAAACAGGAATAGAGGTGCAGTTTGGAGAGCTGAAGGAAGTGGGACCTTTATTGGAAACTCAGATTGGCTAAACATTTAATATTTTAAAATAAGTGACAGAATGCTTCATCAGTCAAGTAGATGGGAGTTAGAATGTTTTTGGCTGTAAGTAGATGGAATGCCAACTCAAATTGGCTTTAACAAAAAGGATGCTTATTTTCTTACTTGGCTAAAGGAGAAACTGACTTCAGGATTGGTTGATTCATGACTCAATGATGTCATCAAGGGCCCATCATGCTCTCTGCCCTCCTATCCACAAAATCGGCTGGTCCGCTTGTGTTCATAGGATGGCTATAGGCAGCAATTGAAACATTGGGCTTTTTTGTTCCTATCTAGGGAAAGAGAAAGCTCATCCCCAAACATGGAATAAACTCTGAGAGTTTAGTTGGGCTGCACCCCTCTTCTTCAACCAGTTGCTACAGGTGACTGTAACTAATCAGGATCTACCCTTGGCACTGGGGTTAGCTCCCCGTGGCAAGGAAAATTGCTATGTACTTTTCCTACTGGGTCCATTACATTAGGCTTCCTCTATGAAAGGCCCTTCACAGTTTAACACGTAATACAGCAAGTGTTAGTACCTGAAGCCCCTTACCACGACCATGGTAAGGTTAATGATCTGAGAAACATTTGTTTAGCCCTTCCAAGGTGTCAGTATATATGTGGACAGTTTCTGCACAGCTTGATGTGCTTTGAGAAGAATCAGCATAGGGTGCTCAGCAAGCAAGCACCTCACTGCAGCTGGGGCTCAGGAATTCTTCCTAGTTCGGTGAAAATGAAGATGAGGAAGGGGAAATTCAGAGAGAGAACAAGATGTGCAAAAGTGTGCAAGACAAGAATGGCATAGCATGTTTATAATACTGTAAGCATATGATCCTCCCATCTCTGTATTGATTTCATTGAATTCCATAGGATGTCTGAGAGTGCAATGAAATTATTCCCTTGTTGTTAGATAATGAGTTGATTATGGTTTCTCACTGTAACAACTAATGTTGCAGTAAACATCTTTGTATATATATCTTTGTGTACTTGTTTGAGTGTTGCATATTCCTGGAAGTGGAATGGTTGAGTCAAAGAGAATGCTCTTAAACATTTTAAAACATGCTGACAAACTGTCCCCCAGGACGGTTGTACCACTTTATACTTCTGTGCATAGTGGATGAAAGAGCACTGCTCACAGCCCTTGACAAAAATGAATATCCAATCCAAACTTATTAATTTTTGCCAATCTGAAAGAATATTTTATCTTGCATTTTCCTGATCACTGGAGAGATTGAACATTATTTTTCTTTAGGCCTTTCCTATCCTCTCAGCTCACCCAGCTCCATCAGTTCTTCAATGGTATCTTTTCAGTCAGTGGCTCCACATCATAGCCATGATTCCTCATTAGAGTCACTCTCTTCCAAACACCCTGGACTCCCTCTCCCCACCGCCCACTTTGTTACTCTCCTTGCAAAGCCCCAGCCCCAGGGAAATGCATCTGTCTTGTCTGCATATGCTGAGTAGCACCTACACTTGAGCAGTTAAGAACTGGAGAAAAACCCCCAAATATGTTGACTGACCTTACTAGAGTCATGGCTACAGACCTCAGATGGACCTTCAATACTTCACTCTCCACATTTACTGCTTCATATTCTCATCTCTCTTTAAAACCTCTCCCAACATCAACTTCCAATTTTAAGTTAATTACTACACCTGATTTTTAATAGACTTTATTTTTTAGAGCAGTTTCAGGTTCACAGAAAAATTGAGGGGAAGGTTCAGAGATTTCCCATATAACCCATGCCCCTCACATGCACAGCCTTCCCCACCATCAACATCCCCCACTAGAGTGTACATGTGTTACAAAGTAATGAACCTACATTGACAGATTATGAACACCCGAAGTCCATAGTTTACATTAGGATTGATTCTTGTACATTTCTTTTCCTGGTTTTTCCTGAGAAAATGACAGCTATTCGATAGAAACTCCTACTATCCAAACCACCAATCACCTACCTCTGTCCCGCCTGAGCCTCCTTCCTGTGAAAGCTAACCCTCCTTTTTGGACTTTGGGACCAGTCCCCTCCCCTTCTTAAGGAGTAGACCCTTATGAACATGATCAACTGATCATGTTGTCTAAAAAAAAAGTCCCTTACACACAAAAAGCTTGTCACAGTGTCACTTCTCTGTCCTTTGTTGATCTTTTAGCAGTATTCATCACACAGTAGCCTGTGCCCTGCATCTTGAAGCACTTTATTCTTTTGACCTCCTGGACACAATCTGCTAGGGTATCTCTTACTTTCTGGCTGCTGTTTTCTTGGCACCTTGGCTATTTTTCCTCCTCTGTTCAACCTCTAAAGTTTGGAGTATCCAGTGCTCTGCCCTGGGCTCCTTCCTCAATGTGAACAGCCTTCCTACATGACCTCATCCAGTTCTTGTGGCTTTAATACCATACTTACGCCAGTGGTTATATCTCCAACCCTAATGGCCAACCTTGCACAGCTACATGGATATCTAACAGCATCTCATGTTAAACTGCTGAAAAAGAACATAGTTCCATCCCCTACATTCACATATATACAACCCATCCAAACCTGTTCATTCCTCACCTCAATAAACAGCACATTATCCGTCCGTCGTCATCTCATCAACCTTCCGGCCCAGCATGGAGCCCATCAGTGCCACACTACAGACCTTGTATCCTCCACTTCTCTCTGTATCACTGCTCTGCTGTGTGACATCAGTGGTCTCCCTCTTTTGGAAGGTCACTGAACACTACTGATCCTTGTTTTGCTTTCTCTCCTGCTCATCCTTACCCTGGACCATTCCCCACGCAGCAGCCAAAATAGTGCCTTAAAAATGTTGCTCAGTTTATGCTCCCTTTGCAGGAGGATAAAACCCCAATTTCATACTCTAGCTCTGAAGCCCTGCATGACACAGCCCTTACTACTCCTTGGATCTTATCTCAGACTCTCCCCTTGCCCTCCTCTCTGCTTCAGTGACACTTCAGTCCCCTTGCCCCACAACATCCTTCCAAGTAAGCTTGCCAGTGGAGAAGCTCATTCTTGCTTCCAGAACAATAAGGTCTTCTGCTTAGAATGTCCTTCTCCTTGTTTTTTGTTTTTTGGGTTTTTTTTCTCATGCTAAGAGCTCTTATTATTCACATCTAAGTTTCTTTATCATCTCTTCAGAGAGGCCTTTATTGATCACCCAATCTGAAGTAGAGTGTCACCCAGTGACACTGTGTCACTCCACCTTATGCTAATTTTCTACAAAGCATATATTACTGTGTTTTTAGATTTGCTTTATCTGATCATTTTCTGTGTCCACTAGAATGTTAACTCCATCTGGGCAGGTAGCTTATCCACTATTGTTTCTTCATCTAGAACAGTCCCTGCCACATCACAGCTACTGAGTAGTTTTTAAATGAGTGAATGTTTACTAGCCATTGTATTTCTTCTCTGATTTGCTACTTCTCATTTTTCCGTGGATTAGCAGTCTTAACCCTCTATCAGATATGCAGCAAACATTTTTCTTTCAGTCTTTTCCTTTATATTTTAATGGTATCTCTCACCATAAAAATGGAAGTTTAAAATTTTTTATATGTATAGTCAGATCTGCCTGTCTTTTTCTTTGTGGCTTTTGGGTTTCCTGCCCTGCTTAGAAAGTCTTCCTCGCCTCAATGTCATTCTTTTTTTCTTTCTCCTCTATTTTCTAATTTTTAAAGTTTTGTTTTTTAAAATACAGTTTTAGCTTTAATCCACACAGAATTTGTTGGGGAATATATTATGAGGTAGGGACCTAACTTTTTTTTCCTGCAGATATGGCCAGATGACCCCCACAATTAAATGATTGTTTTTTGTGCCCTGATTTAAAATTCTATCTATTAGCATAATATAATTTCTCACTCATATTTCAATTTTCTGTTTATACGGCTGCTTGAGTTGACCTTTGGATATTGGGTGAGCTATCTCCTGTTTCGTAAGATGGCTTCATTGTGCTTTCACTTCATGCAGCCAGAGTATGATGTAAATCAGCCTTGGTCATTGCTCAGATTCCCCTAAACCAGTTAGATTCCTGTGGCCACATAGTGTTCTCCCAGCCATTTCTATACCACCTCCATATGTAAAATATCAGATCAATAAACTAAAATAGAAAGCAAGAGGGCAAATAAATTGAACTAAGTAAAAGCTTATTACTCGGGGTATTGTTTTTTTTTTTCCTTTAATTTAAAGTTTTGAGCCATACTACATAGATTCTAGAGAAGTTTCACCCTATTTCATGTTGTTCTCAGTCATAACTCTGTAAAACAGGCATTGTTTAAGAATCCAAGTCTAGGAGAAAGGAAGTGTGTGGCTAGAGATCGCACAGCTCTTAGTGGAGCTGCCCTAGCCACAGACTCACTGTCTGCTACAGACCCCTATGCCTACATACAGCTGGACAATTTTTCCAACCCTGCTTTTTGAAAATCTCTTTTTAAAAGAGAAAGAGATTAGTTTTTTTAAACAAAAAGGATTTTCTGCTTTTAATCAAATCATTAAAAAAACAGTCCGTGCCAAGCATTCTAGTTTGCTAAGTGACCAAATGTAATATTGTACCTGAGGATGTTAGGGCTGCTGACTTAAAAATAACATTTAATGGCATTTTTAACTTTAAATTTTAAGAAAGATTATGAAAAACAGGAGCTTACTCAGTAAAATTTATTCTTTTGTAGAAATGCACATTTTGTGGTAAAAAAGGAGCTACCGTGGGATGTGATGAAAAAGCCTGTGCCAAGAATTACCACTTTTTCTGTGCCAAGAATGACCACGCAGTTCTACACACAGGATCTGAAGGAATTTATAAGTATTTAATAAAACAGTTTTAAAGACACATTTGGGGGACTTGAATAAGGACTGGTTAGACTAAGGGAAGGAGATTTTTAAATTAATTTTATGCAAGTTGTTTCCAAGCAAGAACTTGGTTTGGGGGTCCTCAGTTGGGAACCTGACTTCACAACACCTTCTCTATGTATCATAGGAAGAAAATAAGTAGGGTTGGTTTTGGTTTTGGTTGTACCCTTCCTGTATCCTTTCCTAGTAGAAAGCGTTGGTTGTCATAGTGGCATCAGTGACCTACCTAATAAGTAGTCATGAGACTAGGAGCCAGTTCACATTGGCTCTTTTCCACATACAGGAAAGGAGCCTTAAACTTCTTAGCCACAGGTCCATTATTTATCCATCTTGTCTGCTAAATGAATGTCTTTTTCTCACCATTGTCATTACTATCTTACCTATAAATAGCTTCTAAAAATAATAAATGATATAGCAAATACAGTAATCAATCTTTTAGTCCTTGAAAAAACTTGTGTTGCTTTTGACTTTTAAATGTTGTTTGATGTCGTCAATCACTCTTTAGTTAATTTTGACCCAATAAGGCATATTTCAAGTCCAATAGAGTTATATTTGTTTTATTTAGTAAGAAACTTGAGCTTCCTTCTGATGAAAGATTTCAGTTCAATTAAATTACTATACAATTTAGTAAAGAAAAAGTAAGCCAGTTGTTAACTGAATTGGTTCAGGTCATGCTAAGTTAACTCATGTAAACAAAGTCTAAAACATGTCATATAAAGTTGAGGAAGAAAATTGTTTCTTAAAAACAGTTTTGACCTGTTTAAAATTATGAAATGGATAAAACAGAGAACAACTAAAGTTGAAGAGCCAGGCAGACACTTCTTATTTCTTTAGGGCCTATCTATGATTCTGATTGACATTTTAAGTTCCAGTGAAATATTTACATATTCAATCACAATATGCCAAATAATAGGATGAGTTACATGAAAGCATTATTTTTTAATATGATTTTTGTAAGATCTATTACTTTCCTAAATGATATTTTAAAATCCCATATGGAAGCTAGATGTTTTCTTTCCTATGGACACATATCTCCAATTTTATCAAAGTGTTTCAGCACTATTTTACTTTACTAATTTAGCTAATAGACACTTTATGCCAAGAATACTTCCATGTACTTTATAAATGTTAATTTATTTAATCTTCATAACACCCTTGTAAGGTAAAAACTGAGGAAACTGAGGCCCTGAAAGAGTTAGTAATTTGTACCCAGGCCACACAGCTTCAGGGCTCTAGATTCCTTGCTCTTCGCCACCATATCCTCTTGAAGTGTAGGGGCCATGTGTACAAAAATAATATGGGCTTGCCTACCATTCAAAGAAGTTTGTTAAGTAATTTTAAATCTGACTTTGAGCAAGTTCCATGGTATTTCGTTGCTTAAGACTAGAAAGGTAATATGTAAATATGTTAATTTTGTATTGTATTTCTTTTTATATTTGATTTCCTGAGAAACTCATGGCTTGTAATATTCTGTTTCACTTTTTTATTGAAGTATAATTGACATACATTATATTTCAGGTGTATAACAATGATTTGACATTTGTATGTATTGCAAAGTGATCAACATTCTAAGTCCACTTATTATGTCACCGTAAAAACTTACACAATTTTTTTCTCCTGATGTGAAATTTTATGATTTACTTTCTTAGTGACTTTCAAATTTGCAATACAATATTATTGACTACAGTCACCATGCTGTACATTACACCCCCATGAGTTATTTATTTTATAACTGGAAGTTTGTACCTCTTATCCTCTTCACCTATTTCACCCACATCCCATTTCACCCACACCCTAACCCCCTCCCTTCTGGCAAATATGAATACTTTGTTCTCTATATCTATGAGATTGGTTTTGTTTTGTTTAATCTTTTTTTTTTTTTTTTAGATTCCACATATAAGTGCCATATACATTGCCTTTTTCTGTCTGCTTATTTCACTTAGCATAATGGCCTCAAGGCCCATCTATGTTACTGAGAATGGCAAGATTCCATTTTTTTTTTTTTTGTGGTTGAGTAGGATTCCAGTGTGTGCATGTGCATGCTGCACATCAACCACATTTCTTTACCCACTAAGTGAGTACTTAGGTAGTTTTCATATCTTGGCTATTATAAATAACGCTGTACATAGGGGTGCATGTATTTTTTGAATTAGTGTTTTTGCTTTTTTTGGATAAGTACCCAGAAATAAGATTATATGGTAGTTCTATTTATAATTTTTTGAGGAACATCCATGCTGTTGTCTATAATGTCTGCACTCATTTACTTTCCCACCAACAGTGCACAAGGGTTCTTCACATCTTCACCAACATTTGTTGTTTTTCTTTTTGATAATAGCCATCCTAATACCTGTGAGGTGATATTTCAGTTTGACTTTGATTTACATTTCCCTGATGATTAGTGATGTTAAGTATCTTTTCATGGGCCTGTTGGTGATCTATATGTCGTCTTTAGAAAAATGTTTATTCACAGTTTGCCCATTTTTAAATCAAATGGTTTGCTTTTTGTTATTGAATTGTATGAGTTCTTTATATATTTTGGATATTAACCCCCATCATGGTTTGCAAATATCTTCTCCCATTTAATAGGTTGCCTTTTCATTTTGTTGATGGTTTCCTTCACTATGCAAAAGTTTTTTAGTTCGGTGTAGATCATTTGTTTATTTTTGATTTTGTTGTTCTTGCCTTTGGAGTTAGAGCCATAAAAACATCCCTAAGACTGATGACAGGGAGCTTACAACCTATTTGTGTTCTCGGAGTTTTATGGTTTCAGGACTTACATTGAAGTCTTTAATCCATTTTGGGTTCATTTTTATGGTGTATGGTAGTTCCACTCTTTTGCACGTGACTGTTCTGTTTTCCAAACACCATTTATTGAAGAGACTGTCCTTTCTCCTGTATATCATTGCCTCTTTTGTCATAAATTAATTGACCATATAGGCTTGGGTTTATCTCTGGGTTTTCCATTTCGCTCCATTGATCTGTGTTTTTATCTAGTACCATGCTGTTTTGATTACTATAGCTTTATAATATAGTTTGATAGCAGGGAGTTTGATGCCTCCAGCCTTGTTCTTTTTTTCTCAAGATTGCTTTGGCTATTTGGGATCTTTTGTGATTGTATAAAAATTTTTAAATTATTTGTTTCTGTAAAAAATACCATTGTTTGCTTCTCTACTAAATTCATGTATTAGTCGTAACAGTTTTTTCACTGTGGAATCTATAAAATTATGTCATCCACTAATAATGACTGTTTTACTTCTTCATTTCCAATTGGGATGCCTTTTCTTTCTTTTTCCTGCCTAATTGCTCTGGCTAGGACTTTCAATACTATGTTGAATAAAAGTAGCCAGAATGGGCATCTTTATCTTGTTCCTGATCTTGAAGGAAAAGCTTTCTACTTTTTTCTGTTGTGTATGATGTTAGCTGTAGGCTTCTCATGTATAGCCTTTATTATGTTGAGGTCTTTTCTGTCTGTACCCACTTTGTTGAGAGTTTTTATCATAAATGGATGTTGAATTTTATCAAATGCCTTTCTGCATCTATTGAGAAGATCATGTGGTTTTTATCTTTCATTTGTGTGTATTACATTTAATGATTTGCAGATACTGTACCAACCTTGCATTCCTGGAATAAATCCCACTTGATTATAGTTTATGACCTTTCTTATATTTTTGTAATATTTTTAACTTTATTTTTGTTGTTGACGCTATTACAGATGTCCCAATTTTTCCCTGCTTTGCCCATCTCCACCCAGCCACTGTCCTCACCTCCTCCTGGCCATCATGACACTGTTGTTTATGTCTATAGGTTATGCATATATGTTCTTCAGCTAATCCCTTCATCTTCTTTATTTTTAAGATTTATTTATTTTTAGAGAGAGGGGAAGGGAGGGAGAAAGAGACAGAGAAACATCAGTGTGTGGTTGCCTCTCACACACCCCCTGCTGGGGACCTGGTCTGCAATCCAGGCATGTGCCCTGACTGGGAGTTGAACCTGTGACCCTTTGGTTCTCAGGCCGGCACTCAGTCTGCTGAGCCACACCAGCCAGGGCTGATCTTTAAACCAGCCCCCCACCCCACTCCCCTCTGACCACTGTCAGTCTGTTCCATGTACCCATGCTTCTGTTTCTGTTTGGGTGATCTTTTTTAATGTATTGCAGGATCCTGTTTGCTAATATTTTGTTCAGGATTTTTGCATCAGTGTTCATCAGGGATATTGACCTATAATTTTCTGGGGGTTTTTTCCTCCCTCGCTCCCTTCCTCCCTCCCTTCCTCCCTTCCCTGGGCTTATGAAAGCATTCCTTTCTCTTCAATTTTTTGGAATTATTTAAGATAGGCATTACATTTTCTTTGAATGTTTGGTAGAATTCACCAGGGAAACCTTCAGTTTCACTTTTATTATTTACTCTTCCAAAGAGCTTGTTTTATTATGCCTTATACGGTGACTGTAAACATCCAATACAAAGATTATTATTAAACAAGAGCTGTAAGATTTAACAAAAGGGAGTCAGATTCCTGCTACATCTTAAAGTTTGAAAAAAATACTGACACACATTAGTGGAACCAGTGCATAGAGATTCAATAAAATAATTATTTTGTCATTGTTTTTATCAAGTATCAGGTGAACTTTCATGCATTTTTAAATTTAAGCATCAAGAATGCCTATCATACATGAGACACTTTGCCAGGTGCAGTGAGTATATAGAGAGGAACAAGACATGGATTAAACCTCAGAGAAGGAAGTTATCACCTGTGGGAGAACCAGAAAGGTTAAAAGTAATAGAAACATGTGACATAATGGGAGCAGGAGGAAATTTACACTAAACCAGCTTGGCCCTGAGTTGATAGTTGGGGGCATAAGGGTTTTTCATATCTCTTCCACATTTATATATGTTTAAAATTTTTCATAATAAAGACATTTAAGTACCAGGAAATGAAAGTGCTCAGAGAAACCAGAATCCAGAGGATGAGATCATTTTGATTGGGAGAAGGAGTCGGGTTGCTGGAGAAACTGCATGGAGGAGATGGGAACTTGTGTGTAGCTGTTACTGTTTCCATTTTACAGATAAGAAAACTGAATCTTCCATAGATGAAATGTCTTGTGCCTATGATAGCCTATCAGAGGAGCAGATAGCCTATCAAAGGAGCAGAGCCAGGGCTCTGATGGCAAATCCAGTGCTCACGAAGGAATGAGCTCTGCATCCCAGGGGTCCTTGTAACTGCCTGGGGGGCTGCATGTCTTACCTAACATCTATAGTCCCTTTTGCCATGTAGGGGACAGGCTCCTATGCTCTGGGGATTAGGAATGTGGACATCTTTGGGAGCCATTGTTCTGCCTGTCACAGAGCAGATTTCAGCTAAAAATTTGGAAGAAATGTTCTAAAAACTAGAGCCATGGATTGCCTCCTAAGCACGTGAGTTTCTCCAGTGTGACCAAGACAATTTTGGACAACCACACATTAAGTGTAGTATTGAAAGGATTCACAGATTAAAAGGAGCTTTATATGAACCTAGCAAAGTGCTTAGATTGTAAGTCTGAAAATGTCTGTTCCTCTATAGGATTGGGTTTTTGTTGTTTTACCATAGTGTTCATCGCATTTCACTTGTCATTTGGATATGTGCCCTGTGTGTCTCATTCCCCTTACTAAGTTATAAGCTCTTTAGAGACCAGGTACCACATCTTACTGCCTTTATTTTTTAATTACGGTTGACATTCAGTGTTATTTTATATTAGTTTCAGGTGTACAGCATAGTGGTTAGACCTTATTATAACTTATGAAGTAATCCCACCTGATAAGTCTAGTATCCACCTGGCACCCTACGTATTTATTACAATAATGTTGACTATATTCCCTGTGCTGTACTTTACATCCCCATGACTATTTTATAACACGAAGTTGTACTTCTTAAGCCTTTCACCTTTTTCATCTATCCCCTCAACCCTCCTCCCATCTGGCAACCATCAGTTTGTTCTATCTCTGAGTTTCTCTTTTGTGTGTTCATTTATTTTATTCTTTAGATTCAGCATATAAATGAAATCATAAGATCTTTGTCTTTCTCTGACTTATTTCACTTGCCATAATGCCCTCTAGGTGCACCCATGTTGTTGCAAATGGTAAAATTTAATTTCTTATGGCTGAGTAATATTCCATTATATATACACCACATCTTTATCCATTCTCCTGGTTGGAGTGTTTAATCCATTTATATTGAAAGTAATTATTGATAGGTATTTAGATATTGCCATTTTATTGTTTTCTAATTGTTTTTGTAATTCTTCTCTGTTCATTTCTTACTCTCTTGCTCTTTTTTGTCTGTTGATGACCTTCTGTAGTGTTGTGCTTGATTCCTCTTTATTTCTTGTATATCTCTTGTAGGTTTTTGGTTTGTGATTACCATGTGCTTCATATATCCCAAGACATGTTTATAACAATCTGTTCTGAGTTGGTGGTTGCTTAAGTTCAAACGCATTTTAAAATCACTACCATTTTTACTCTTCCTCTGCACATTTATGTTCCTGTCATTTTTTCCTTCTTGTGTGTGTGTATCCCCTAATTTACTGTTGTAATTACTATGATCTTCCTACTTTTGCCTTTTATCCTTTGTACTAGCTTTATCATTGATTGATCCAGTGCTTTTATGGTTTGCCTTTGTCAGTGAGAATGTTTTTTGCAACATTCTTAATTCGTATTTTTTATTTCTTCTCATCTTCATCCTCCTCCAATTTGTAATTGGGTGGTGCTCCAGTGGTCTCTGAAGCTGGCCACCAGGTGTGTTGGTGTCAGGGCCTCTTAGGAGGAGCTCTATGGCAGGCCAAGGTCAGCTGCTGCCTGTATTTGGCCCAAAGCCACCTGGTAGGAGTGACAAAATGATCTGCATTTGGTAGCTGCCTGTACTGGCCATGGAGGCATCTGGTGTTGGTTATGCTGTATACCGAGGCCAGCTGCTACTAGCATGAGGCTTGGGGCCACTTAGCAAGAGGTACAGGACAAGCTGAGGCCAATCATTGTTTGTTTGGGGATTATGGACCTTTGAGAAATTTTAGGAAAAGTCCACAGCCCTGGCACTGGTACTCTGGGTTAGGGAGCTCTCACTCCTCAGTCTGCAGCCAAGTTATTCCTCCTGATTCTTAACCGCCACACATGGGTGTGGGACCAGCCCATTTTATGTCTCTGCCCCTACTACCAGATTCAACATGGCTGCTTCTTTGTATCTTTTGTTACAGGACTTCTGTTCTGCTAGACTTCAAGTGATTCTCAAGGGTAGTTATATAACCAGGCAGCCTGGGGTCCAGCCACTTGCCACCTTGTACACACATAACATGAAGATTTATGGGGAAGGAAATAGGTTCTTATTAATAGGATAACCAATTTTAAGGAGCTGGGAGCATTCCTGTTTTGAGCCATCCTGACCCACAAAACACAGAAAACCAGCCACACCCAGGACCATAGTCAGCATCCAAACACCTTGCCCCATCTTATCTGTCCTTTTGGAGTTCCAAGATGGCAGGTACATGAATGGGTCTCCATCCTCAGGTTCACTCTGTCTCTGTGTGCACTTGTGTATTTCGGCATCACCATCGCCTCACAGCAGCTTTCTCTCTCCCAGGGTCTGGGGTGCGCTGCCAGATCACTCCAGTCATGCAAGGAAAGCTCCTGGTGCCTGAGGCTGCCTCCACCCCTGGAGTCAAGAAAATTCCCAGCTCATGCCTCCATATGTTGCCCCCGGCCTCTAGGCACTGCTCACAGGGCAAGCCTAAGGGCTGGCATCCATGGAGGAACAAATGCCAGCATGGGCCTCTGGGACCTGGCTTCTGATCATGTGAGGCATAAGCACTGGGCACTTCCACCTGTGCAAGAGAGCCCCAGGCTTCTGCCTGTGTTCTGTTTTAGAGCCCCCTCCCCAAATCCTATGCAATGTGGGAGTGCCCAGCTTTTCAACCAGTGTAGGCCATGTAGGCCATAATTGGTTTGCCCATGGTGGGGTGCCCGGCCCTTAGCTCATGCAGGCCACTGTGCAGCCTGTGTCACGAGCTGCATTGATTGTTACCGTAGCCCCAGGGTGTGGGATGGCTGTCACAAGGTTTCAGTTAGGATTTTAATGTGCCATCTTGGGGCATCCTTCCACCCTTACCCCTGCCTTCTCAGGGGGAAGGCAGCCTCTGTGTCAGATCAGGGTTTCTTCCCATTCCCTGCTTTCTCCATTGGTTTGGTCAAACCCATGTGTTAAAAGTTGTTCTTTAGTTGTAAATTTGATGTTGTCGTGGGAGTAGGCCAGCACTGCGTTTACCATTTACCCACACTGCCATCTTGACCAGAAGTCTAAAAAAGCATATTTTAAACAAATACTTAGGGCAACATCATCATGAAAAATAATTTAATTCCTTTTGAAATTACAAGAAAATGGACATATTTGAAAAGTGGAAGTAAAAATATTTAATCATTCTTTAAAATTGCATGTTTTCAGAGTATTTTGCCAACAACACGCTCCATCGAGAGAAACTCAATCTGGTAAGTCTGTAAAATTTAATATTGTGGGCTTAAAGAAAGGTAAACATTAGGTAAGACATAAAATAGCCTGATTTACTAGCCTCACTGAATTAAAATACAAATTTCTGATTCAAAATTTTATATATAAAATTTTCAGTGTCTTTGCACAATGTGTAATATAATTTACTAACATTATTATTTGTGAACTAGATCTGCTCTCAGTAAAGCCATTACCTGGTGTCTTCCATCCTCACTACAATCAGAAGATGACACCAAGACAAGGTAAAAAGCTGTGCCATTTGGGATTCTCTTCTAAAAAATGTATCAGAATTTTAGTTTTTTAATCCTCACCCAAGGATATGCTTTCTACTAATTTTTGAGAGAGGAAGGGGGAAGAGAGAACTATCGATCAGTTGCCTTCCATATATTCCCCAATTGTGGCTTGAACCCTTAATCTAGGTATGTGCCTTACTAGGAATTGAACCTGCAGCACCTTGGTGTACGGGATGATGCTCCAGCTGAGCCACCTTTCCAGGGTGAATACCAGCATTTTTAGTAGATAAAATTGATAAAGTACTGCATGGTCCCTAAATAAAAGTGCCCTAAGAATGCATGGTTAGAATTTCAGTACTAAATTGGGAACCTGACTAATTGGAATTGTGGGATGTACGTTCATTTACGAATGGTTTCCATGTTCTCTGAAACAGCAGTGTCTTACCAGCAATAGATCTGGAATGCTCCTTGTGGGCTGGAGCATCTCTTTGGAAAAGGCTCAATTATGTGTCATGCCAACTGCATTTTGTGGTGGTAAACACCACTCCCAAACATTTTTCCGTTACCTTTCTGTTTTTTAAATAGTTTGACGTTTTGGGGAAAAATAATAATAAATCCTAAATTTATGTTCTTTTAAACTATGTGTTGTGAGTAGGAATGTGGTATGCCTCATATGTAGTAAGCATTGGCGACAGTTTAGGTCCCAATGAGAGTGGACTGGGGACATACATTACCCTCCTTAGGAATAATTTGGTATGTATAAAATAAGCTATTCAGACTAAGTGCCATTCCAATGCAATACTCTTTTTAAAATTTTGATTCTGGCTGAAAACATTGTCCTTTTATTACGAAATACTATGAAAAATACTGTTGTCAGTTGGTGTTCATTGACAAGGAAAGATAGCATAACGTATTAGTTTTAAAAAGCAGATTGTAACACTAGTGAATTCTCTCCCCCAAAGGATTTTTTCTTAATTCTTCCAAAAATTTTCTGTGTATACAAACATACCTATTACTATACTTTGCATTTTTCACTTAATATATCCTAGAGATCCTTCCATATCAGCACGAGTGGATCTACCTCACTCTTAAAAGGCTGCATAGTAATCTATTTTGTATATTATTCATTCACATAGCTGAACCAAAACTAAACTAGTCTCTGCATGATGGACATTTCCAGTATTTTTTCTATCACATTTAATACTATAGTAGCATTTTTCTCCATTCAACTTTGTGCCTTAATGCAACTATTAGGAAAACTTCCTGTAAGTAATTTGCTGGATCAAAGAGTAGAAACAATGAAACTTATCCAGAGGCTGTACCAGCAGTACATAATTATTCAAATACTTGCAAATGTTTTATATTAAGCACCTTAATCTTTGTCAATCTAATAGGTAAAAAAATTTTCTTACTTTGCATATCTTATGAGTGAAATTAAGTGTATTCCCCTTTTGATCAATTATACTTGTTTTCCTGCCACCCAATGTTTGTTTATCTATTCAATGAACCTCTCCCCAGAGGTCCCATTTTTCTACTCCAGTGTCTTTTTCGGTATTGATTTATGAGATCATTTTATGTTTTTAAAATTGGCCTTACATCATATGTGTTGCAACATTTAGTCTAAGTTTGCCATATCTTTTGACTTTGTAATAACTTTTGGCATATGAGAGTTTTATATGTTATGTAGTCAAGCATCAGTCTTTTCCTTTATGTATTCGGGTTTGTACATGATATTTTCAGCTAATTTTTCAGGAGTAAAAAGAAAAAGAGGAAAGAAGAAAAATCTCTCAACAAGCATTCCTGTACAGGTACTTCGACTTAATTTTATTATTGCTTTAAGTTTCTCCTATCAACATCCTCATTTTTTAAAAACAAATTTTATTTTTATAAAAATATTTTTAGAGAGAGGGGGAGGGAGGGAGGGAGAGAAACATCAATGTGTGGTTGCCTCTTGTGCACCCCCTACTGGGGACATGGCCCACAACCCAGCCATATGCTCTGACTGGGAATCGAACCAGCAACCCTTTGGTTTGCAGGCCGGAATTCAATCTACTGAGCCACACCAGCTGGGACAACATCTTCATTTTAACCGTTCTGAACTTCAAGTGAAATGATAGAATCATAATGAAATGAATATTTAAAAGAAGGTGTGTATTAGATATCCAAGCACATAATTCAGGAGATGACAGTCCCTGAATTATGTACTTGGGATTATAGGAGCTATATTGGGATTATTGTGTTACAGGAGCTATAAGAGTCCCATAGCTCCTATAACACATCCCCTGGTACCAAATTAGAAGAATCTGAGCACACAGGGTACTTATGGTCTTAAAATGGGCAGAGGTACAGTTGAGTACCCTTACCTAACCAAGTACTTCCCCACTGCATGACCCATACTTGACCTAATTTATAACTCACAATTTTCTGGATTACTACTATATGTAAAGCATATGAAAATGTTTTGGGGATTTCAAGCAGTTCTTTACACATCAGCTCACATAAGTTAAATTAATAGGAACCAACAACCTTCACCTGCTGTTTATACAAAAGGTGCTTGTCACAACTCTTGATTTTGTTATACAAAACAAAAATACATTTGATGTTTACATCTACAAATGAATATGGGACATGATTTTCACCATAGGTATATCATTGAATTATATACAACAAAAGATTGGTTTTCATTTTATGCAATATTAAATGCCAGCAGTAAAATCTGTGTAAAATAATCTTGGTTTTTCTCTCCTTCTAGTTACCTGAACCAGTGACATTAAATAAGTCCATAAAACAAATGAAAGAAGAGGATGGCAGACACACAGGTTTGCTACAAGTTTTGTCTGTAACAAATATGACCTACAGTACTTACAAGAGATGGTCCATATATTACAAAGTTGGTATCCTGCTCTATTCTTGAAGACCTGTAATAACTAATCAGAAGAGTAAAAAGTTTTGTCGTAACTACCCACTTTATCATAACCCCAGCAGAGCAAGCTAACTTAGGTTGGGACGGTTCATTCCTCTTCACTATTAATAAAGGGTACATTTTTTGTTACAGAAGCAAGGGTTGCCTGAGCTCAGAATATGGTGATGTGCTACCCCCTCAAACTGTTGATTCCCCACTTCCCAGGTAGCTAGAACCAGTAACTGTAGCTTTCTATTCTTTAAGCAGATAGACGTTCCAAAACAACACAGTAACTGTCACTGAAAAAATGACAGAGGCTATCTCTAAGATTTGAAGCTAAATTTTAGAAAATTATCTTGATTCATATAAGTATTCTAAACAGTTTTCCACATTTTTGTAACATTTCATTCATTGTGTCAGCTAGAAAAAAAATGAGGTAGGATGAAATTACAATAGAAAAGCTGAAGGTACTGTATATATTACCTTGACTAATTTTGCTCACCTGCCTCTAGGCAAGGTCTGAAGAAGTGGCCATAAAGTGATTTATGATAGCTTCCCTAATACTGTTTTCTTCTATAATGTTCTTCTTATTCTTAGATGCAACTGTGAAAGCTGTTTTCCTTAAGAAATGTAAGGATGCAGGACTTCTTAATGATTTATTTGAAGAAATATTAGACAAACTTCATTTGATTCAGGAAAGACTTATGGATGAAACTACTTCAGAATCAGGTACTAAAACAAAAAATTCCTACAGAGACTTCTCACAGACCTACATGTAAAATAAAACAAAATCAAACACATGTACACATTTTCTGAGATATTTTTTTCTTTTCCTCCTTGATCCCATTCTTTAATAAAATCCACTGTTCCAGATCTTTTGTCTTTTATAAATCAACAGAATGTGGGTAATTCACAAACTCATTTTGTAAAAAGTACCCTAATGCCCTGAAGGTTTTCATGTATTTTCCAGAGGTGCATAGCTGAGAGTAACCAGCAAAAGATGAGCACTTCAGAACCAGATTCAGTCACAAACCATCCCCAACTCCCACTCCTACAGCTAGGCACACTTGTTGCTAAAATCTGCAAATGATGTTATGTTAGCTTTGATTCGACCAAATTCCGTTCCTTAATAAACCAAGTGCCTTTATGGTATGTTCAAGTTTAGAGTACAAAAGGAATTACAATGTTCTGATTGATGTTTGGCTTAGTTAAATGTGACCTTTCTTTAGGACCTCTTTGGGAAGCTCAAGTTCCATTCATACATACAGTTATATAGCCACTTAGCTTTCTTAAGATCTACTTTCTGAGCTTAAAACCTTTACTATAAATATAGCTTATTTTACAAGGAGCTTGACAGTCTATTATTGTAGGCAATAATATAAATTAATGATTATTTGAAAGGGATTATTTTCTATAGTACAAAACCAAAAAATGAAGTTAAGAGCAAACATTTCCCAAAGCTCATTCATTGCATTCTTGTTTATTCTTTTGTCTAGAGAGACCAAGCACTTCTCAAACTTGAGCATGCCCCTCAGAAACACCTGGAGGGCTTGTTAAATCACAGATAGCTGGGCCTCATCCCTGGAGGTTCCGATTCAGTAAAGGTGACAAGAATTTGCATTTCTAACAAGTTCCCAGGTGAGGCTGCTGCTGCTGCAGTCTTAACACTATAGTTCTACAGTAGATAACTGCTCTTTTTACTTCTCCTCTTTGGGGGGTTATTTTGTGAGGTGTTTCTGCGTATAATTTAAATTGAAACTGAAAATGTTTTTCTCCCTCCAGACTATGAAGAAATTGGGACTTCACTTTTTGACTGTAGATTGTTTGAAGACACATTTGTAAATTTTCAAGCAGGTATATGAGTTATAATCAAGCAGCAAAGTACATATTTATCATATATATTGAAATAATAGTGTTCAGGTGATAAAATCATATTTCAGTGGACACACTGTTTTATTAAATGAAACTCTCACTACAAAACAGTAATGACCTCTCACACACACACACACACACACACACACACACACACGTAAATACACAAGAGGCATACATGGCACACAGAAAAACTGCACCCAAATGGAAACAATATTTATCTGTAGGTAGCTGGATTATAATGATTTCTTTTGTCTTGAGTGCTTTGTTGTATTTTCCACATTTCCTTTTTCAAAAATATTTAATTGGCTAACTGGGGTCTTTTTAAAAAAATTTTATTTATTTACTTTTAGAGAGAGGGGAAGGGAGGGAGAAAGAGAGGGACAGAAACATCAATGTGCAAGAGACACACTGATTGGTTGCTTTTCACAAGCCCCCAACTCAGGACCTCGCCTGCAACCCAGGCATCTGCCCTGACTGGGAATCGAACCAGTAATCTTTCAGTTTGCAGGCCAGTGCTCAGTCCACTGAGCCACACCATCCAGGGCCACATTTTCTAACACACATGTAATACTTTGTGTAGAAACAACAAAAATTGATTGCAAAATGGCAGAATATTTGGGCCATGTTCAGGAATCAGCAGGAACAGGTGAAAAGTCTTTTGGCCTCTGCCGTCAGGCAACCACAGTGTGACAAATCAAGCTGCCACTTGTCTTCCTCTCACTTGGTATGATACATACATATTTCAATTCTCCCCACATTAATCTGCAAATGCAATGGGGGTGGGGGTTGTGGCTGATTGACTCTAAAGCTTATCAGAAAAAAAAAAAAGCACTAGCCAAGAAACTTGAAAAAGAAGAAAACCTGGTGGAAGCAGTGACCTGTCTATAAAGTACCAACCATTTATTGAGTAGGCTCTTTGTCATTGTTTAAGATGCCTTCAAAACAGGCTAAATTTTCACTTTGTGAATCTGCTCTGACTTCTCCATTAAGGTATTGCCACACACAGCTGGGCAGCATATGCACTGCACATCCCAGTGGGAATGGGGGTCATATTCACACAATTTTTGGCAAATGGCTTCCCTAAAGTTGCACAAATAACAGTGACCTACATTCCTCTTCCATGAGGTACTTGTCTTTCTAGCAAATGGTATTAGGGCAGTAGGTTCTCTCTGTGGAGAAAATATTAGCTCATGCATGTCCCTGTCTCAATATACATAAGTTTTCCTCATTTTTATTTTGATATCACACGTTTCTATTTGAATTTTGTATTACATTTATAATCAGAAAAAAACTTTTTAACTTACCAAAAATACTGTATCTTTTAACAGTGTCTAGAGAATGTCTGCATCCTGTGAATGGGAATATCCATGTATTTTTAAAAGCAGCCTTTAAAATCTTTTTCTAAAAAGCTTTATTTTGTAGGGGACTTTAATCTGTGGTTATTTTTCTTTCATATAAAAGTTACATTTTTGGAACATGTCACTACTTGGGTGGCTGACTGGGAGTATACAGGTTACGGTGTAGTATCTGTAGGGTGGGACACGAGGAGGAGACACCATTTGTAATCTCATGAGAACCAACTTAAAAGGCTTAACTGTTGACACCCCAACTGACAAAGACTTTTGCTTAATTTAACCTTTCTAATGTTCCTGAAAGTTAACTACAGGTATACAGGTGTTCTAAGATTAAGTATGAATTAATATTCTTCAGTTTTGAGGTTTTAAAAAAATGACATTTCCACTAAGTTACCACCTTAAAAGTTCTATTAATAAATAAAAGCTTTTATGTAAATTAAAAATTGGATACATTTTTATGAAAGATTTGCCCTTTGATATTCTAACCACATGCTCTCTCCAGTCATCTCTCAACAAAAAGATTTAGTTTATCATGAAGGTTAAACAGTCACTGCTTTCCAGTTTTCAAAGATAGACAAAAGGTACTTTTTCTACTATAAATGTACAAAATCTTAAAATATTTACTGACCAGCTTTATGTGCAATAAAATACTAGAATTCTATCCTGAATTACAACAGGAAGGAAAGACATACATAAAAGGACCAGTTACTCTTCACAAGACCATAGATTCTTTTCATTTGGGGCACAGCACTGTTGTACTATGCTCTTGCAAAATGAAAGGGGAATAAAAATCGTACCTTATTTATAAAACTACTAAATAACCTTAAATCATTTTATTTCTTCTTATCATAGCATTAGAGAATAAAATTCATCAATTTGAAGAAAAACGGCAGCAGATGAAGGAAGAGATTAAGCTACTTCAGGACTTAAAACAAACCTTGTGCTCTGTTCAAGAAAATAGAGACCTTAGGTCAAGTTCTACTTCAATATCTTCTCTATCTTCTTAAGAATTATCATTTCCCAAGCGAGGAATTGGGCACAGTTGCAAGCAGGCTGAAAACTGGAGACCAGGCATGTGAAAGTCACACATCTCTAGAACAAAGCCTCTCATGTCTCTCTGGTCTGCAAACATCAGTCCTCACTAGCTCTTACCTGTTTATGCCTACCTAACTGGGTCCTTCTTACTATCTCACTTCTCCTACCTCTGACAAAATGTTTCTCAGACTCTACTTGAGTGAATTGGATCCCATGTCTCCCACACTCCTCCCATACACTGCCTCCTACCACTCTCCTGCTCCAGTGATCTAAATTGATTCCAGTTAACACACCATGTACTCCAGGGCCTTTTGCAATCCTGCTGTGAAATCTTAACTGCTCTTTAGCCTTTCTCCGACTGCTCCTTCTGCAGATCTCATTATACCAGCTCTCCCACTTACTCATTCCATTTTTAGAGTACTTTCCCTTCATATCACTTCCTAGTGTTACTCACTGTATCATACATCACATTAATAGAGAATAAGCTCTCTGAGGGCAGGAACTCACTATTACTGTGTGCTCGCTATTCTGTGTTTGCTCACTATTAAATTCCTAGCACCCAGCATGCTCAATAAATGTTTGTTGAATAAATGCATAAACTATTTTTATCTTTTGAGACTATTTCCAGCCCATGTCTCTTAGTTATAATAAATTTGAATATTTTATTTGTACCAAATTTACCTGTCTTGTCACAAAGTCTTTTTTTTTTTTAAATTTCTTCTCAGCTACAGTCACCACATGAGCATACATCATCCTCAAAATAAAACACTGAAATTTAAAACTGGGTTCTGAATAAGAACATCAGTGAGAATATGCAAGAATGGAAAAAAAAACAGTAGTTAAGATTTTTCTTAACCTTACAATAAACAATTCAGACTTTTACACCCCACCATATCTGACCCCTGAAAACCTCACATTCACATTTCTAATTTTTTAATATAGTAATCTGATTTGCAATAATGCTACATTTGTTAAAAAGGATTTACTTTATTAGAGAAGGGAAAGGAGGGAGAAAAAGGGAGAGAAACATCAATGTGTGGTTGCATCTCGTGCGCCCCCTACTGGGGACCTGGCCTGCAACCCAGGCATATGCCCTACACTGGGAATCGAATTGGCAACCCTTTGGTTCACAGGCTGGTGCTCAATCCACTAAACCACACCAGCTAGGGTGCAATAATACTACATTTCATTCATAATGAATTTGATCTGTCTCAGCTGGCACATAATAAGTACTCAAAGTACCTGTTGAAAGAAGAATATGATGTAGGCAAAATAACATGTCCATTCCTGTTATGTCCACGCTAGTCCAAGTCATTCCTACCTGAGGGACAGAATCTAAATTGGTGGTTTTCAAATTTGCACATCAGAATCACCTGGGCAACTTAAAAAATTATAAAAGCCAAAACTCCATCCCAGATGCGCTGAATTAAGATTTCCCCTGGTCTAGATAACTGTAACTCAACTTCCTCCCCAGACATTATATCCTATAGCAAAGCTTATCTGAGTAATAGTTTTGACATCATGATCTTTATTTTAAAGAAAACCTTTGTCCCTCTACTTTACTTTGAAATTTAATCTGTCATTCACAGGAAATAATTGCACTCATAAAGTAGGCAAATATCACACAAACTGTTAAAACAGTTCTTTGTACTTTACTACTGAAAAACTTTTATCAAATTATTTAATCTACTTGTGCCTAATCCTGCCTACTTTATGGTACAAAATGTGGGCATGAGAAAGTGTATATGCAGCACAGGGCACCATGGGAAATAAATGTTCTCTCACACACCCTCCCCTTTCCAATATTTCCATTTAATAGACCCTGGCTCTTGTCCAACCTAATCAAACAAACTTGCTTAGGTTAAGCCCTAGAAGGCTCATTAGCCCCCACCTGTAAGCCTTTGCTTGTGCCACTTAACTGTTGTTTTGGAAATGAGCTAAAAGGACACTATGTTTTCCTCCACACAGCACAAACATCTTCAGATATGCTTCTTATATTCTATTACATTTTCTCTCACTATCATGAAGAGCTGTTTTCAAATACATTATTATGTTAATTCCTAATAATTTATACATCTTTGAGGACAGGGACTATGTCTTTCTCTTCATTTGTAAGTATCCCAAAGAATCCAGATACATTTTTCTGCTGTGACAGTTCAACTGTACTATCTTTCAGCAGGAATAAATCAAAGGATCAATAGGGGTGAGTGTAGTTGAGAAACAGTTGACACATTCATGGTAGTACCTGTTGTTAGCCTGATACCTGCTAGGACTCAGTACTGATTTTTTAGTAACTGTTGCAAAATACACACAAAAATTTACCAAATTAACCATGTTTATGTGCAGTTGTATAGCATTAAGGAAATTCACATTATTTTTACAATCACCACCTCCATCCACAGAACTCTTCATCTTGCAAAACTTAAACTCTGTACCCATTAAACATTAACTCCCCATTTTCTCCTCCCTGAAGTCCCTAGCAACCACAACGATAATTTCTAACTCTGAATTTGACTACTATAGGTACCTCATATTAAGTGGAATCATACAGTCTTTGTCCTTTTGTGACTGGCTTTTTTAACTTAGCATCATGTCATCAAGGTTCATCCAAGTTGTAGCATGTATCAGAATTTCCTTCCTTCTTATGGCTGCATATGGGGGAGCGAGGGGACAACCAAATGCTGGTTTTGACAGATTACTTGATTTATTAGTATGTCATTCTAAACATTGCATAAATACAACCTATACATTAGGGTATCAAACATTGTTCCAGTAAGAAGTTTAAGAGTACATTTAGGGCTACTTTAGAAAATATGAATACTTTGGCTTTCATTAGTACAGCAAATGAAAAAAACAATTCAAAGAATAGTTTTTATCTCCTCTAACAACAAAACCAAGTAGAAAAATAAGTGTATCTAAAGGGAAAAAAAAGACAGTCAAGTAATTTTGAAATACTTAATACTTGTTCTCTTCACTACATATACACTCATAAAATGACTCAGTAATGAGAGAAGTGGTTCTTCACCTATATTAGGAACTCAGTAAATATTTATTGAATGAATGAACTATGTATGGAAATAGACCTAGTACTTTAATTTGTGCTTTTTACAAATTTCTTGTTTCAAGTAAGAGCAACAGTAAACATACTGAAGTTTGTGTTTTGTCCAGATTATTATAAGCCTACAGAACAGTGATTGTTACAAACACTATCCATCATAACTAATAAATATGTAGTTATCAACCAGTATGAAAAATTCTTTCATGTGCAGAAATAATTCTAATCACTGGGCTTCAGTCACTTGCAACACAGTCAAACAAAAGGGGGCTGGCTAGAACTTCTAGGTGTGTATATATTTTACCTATCAATGAATACCTATCTTTGGGCCCTCCCCCACCATCACACACACTTAAAAATATCGCTAAAAATAATAGCTGCCACATCTCTTCACCCTCTTATTAATTTGGCTCTGAAAATGTATTTAGGCTCCAAGTTCAGATGGGAGGACCTGCTAAGCAGGAAACAGAATTTAGTAAGAGAGCTCCCACAAATGGAAATGAATGTGGGCCAGAGGGCATACAGAGTTTTGTTCTTAAATTCAACTGATACATACCGTAAAACTCAGAGTTGAATATTCTTACCTTCCAAATAATACTTCACAACCAAACCACCTCAAAACAACCCAAAAACCATAATTTTGTTCATTTTTCAAAGTTCAGTTGTGCTAAATATTAGACCTAACACAACTAATAGGAGAGGAAAATCAAAAGTTAAAGCTAGCAAAGTTTCAAATAAGCAAACTAGTGATGGATTTGGCCTAGATAAATCATAAAACAAATTCCATCAAGTCCTGCAAGAGAGCTGGTTTTAAGAACCTCTACTTTAAGTCAGATGTAGCAGACCTGATGATTTAACAGCCACAATTTAGGAAGGCAAGAATATATTGAATGTCATTATTTTTCCTCTTATGTTTTGCATTTACAAGGGAAAGGTGTAGGTAAGGGGAAAATTTTTAAAAGATTTATTTATTTATTTTTAGAGAAAGTGAAGGAGAAAGAGGGAAACGTCAATGTGTGGTTGCTTCTCGCATGCCCCCTACTGGGGACCTGGCCTGCAATCCAGGCATGTGCCCTGACTGGGAATCGAACCAGCGACCCTTTGGCTCACAGGCTGGCACTCAATCCACTGAGCCACACCAGCCAGGACTGAGGGGCAATTTAAGCTTGAGTTCTCAAGTTTTAATAGAAATAAAACATCATTAAATAACAGTGGAATTCTAATTTTATAAAATATTTATCCTTGTCCAAAGTTTCTCTCATTATCAACTTTTTACAGTTTTAAATTACTACTCTTTATGTGCTTAAGTCTTAAGGGAAATCTTGGCTAACCTAGAAATTTCTTTACATAATTATTATTTCAATAGACTTATCTCACATTAAACTATTATTTTCATACACCATTAAGAAAAAGTCCATCAATAGGGCAAACACAGAAACAAAAGCCTCAAAAGATCTCAACTATTCCTTCACAGTAAGGCAGTTGAACTAGCAACTAATTAAACACTTCAACAAGCCCCAACGTCAGCATCTATAATTCATGGTGGGGCCTCTATGTCTACCTCACAATTCACAAACTATTCCAACTCCTAATGTCAAAAGGATTGTTGATACATGAGCCCTATAGGAGAATTGCCACAAACTTCCCCTTTCCAAGATCAGAAATTCCCCTAATAAAAAACAAAGAAATAACAAGCTAAACTTTCAGCCTTTTACAATGTTCCAGTCAAACCTATAGTCACATTTAAAATATACATATCTAGAAACAAGAGTTGTTTAAAGTAGGTTCAGGAAAAGCCATACATCCTTCATATATGCCTACACAGAGAACTATGTCTCAGATAAAAAACACAACCTGATGGTTTTTTACCTGCAGAATTATATCACCAGTGGAGCACAAAGGACACACCATCACCAATGTCCCAGAGGACTCACACAAAACCCAGCAGCCTTGGCTTCAGTTCTTAAAGGCTCCACATTTACTGGCTTTAGCAATGAATTCCTTTAGCAGAGGGCCATCCATTTGCCAAAATGCTGCAGTCTGTGTAACTTCTGTCAAATGATTGATGCAAAACTTAAAGCAGAATTCTTCTAAATCCTGGACACACACAACAAAAATAAAAACAAGAAAAGGCCTTTTTTTTATTAACTTTGATTGAATTACTTCTCCAAATCCCTCACCCCACGGATCTCACCCTCCCCCAGAAAAGACAGTTGAGTCTAGACACCTCAAATTAGGCAAACGAGTAACCACAAGTATGTGTCAAAAATACATACTACTTGCCCACAACAAAATAAAAGCAATGGGCCCCCTGTCTCATCTGACTCTTCAAAACATACCCACATGCAGACACCATCTATAAGGGGAAGTTTCCTCATACTTATGACAGTCTAGTCATACTTAAAGAGATTATTTTAAAGATCTGAAAGCAACTTTAGTCCATATCATATGTTTTACCACATTCAAGATGTCAGAGAAAAGAATTAAGATGTGGGTTATTTAGTTTAAAAAGAGAAGACTACAAGAAATAGAAGGATGACGAAGAAGTATAGTTAACCTAAAGTGACGATCACAGTTTTAAAAATTTCACTCTCATTCTCTCTTAAATAAAAATACCTTTAAGAATAATACACAACAACTTCCACCACACCAATTTCTCAGACAGTTAATATAAAGAAGGATATTCCCAGAGATTGAATTTTCAGTCTGACAAATAGAAGTCACCAACTACCAACATTCAAGAAAGTGACATATGTAAGTGGTAAACCAGAACAATTTAAAAGTATATATCCTGTCATCCCCAGCAAAACTCTACTATAATGTTGTTTGTTCCTTTTTATTTTGGAACTGGAATATATACAAAAACTAAGTATATAAAAACAAGACCCAGTAAAAGCTCTTACCACAGATAGCTTGATTATCACGTGGCTGAATCTAGTGAAGGTACTCAGGGTTCTAAAAAACCAGGAACTCAAGAACATTTAAACCGCACAGTCTTGATTTAACATTTCCAGCCACCATGATATAAGAATTTCAGGCAGAATGGGGAAGGGCCCACACAAACATGGACACACACCTTTTTTCTCTCTCAGTGCAGACTGCGTAAAACATAGACTTCCTTTATCCTAAGGGTCCCTCTGTTCCTAGTTGAAAGATGCTCCCCACTTCGCAGTTTTATAACTAGTAGGAGATAAACTCCATCTAATATGTATCAGCCAGCTGCTGCCAAAGTTTTATTTTATAAATAACTCAAAATGCATTAAAATGTTAACGCAATCTCTGGATCAATGTTTTAAATAAGAGATTCACATTGGGCTCTGTAAATGTACTGAAAGCTCTGCGTTAAATTATATCAAGCATTTTCTCTCATATTATTATTAAAGAAAAAGCCTTACTTTTGGTGTTATAATTCAACGGTTAATAAATGAGCCCTAAGGACTAAATTACATTCCACAGGAAGATGTCATACTTTATTCTTATTTATCAAAAAGAGAAAACTAGTTTATTTACACATAACTTAGGAAGAAATAGACAGTCATGAGCAAGAAAGTTCTTCAAACCTTGTAATCTATCAGATAAGGATCTTTAAATATTAAATTTTAATTATATAATTTCAAATTCAAAACGAAAGAAGAGTGCACTAAATTCTGGCATTGTAAAACCTTATCACTTCTGTGTGGACTAATTTGGAATTCAAGGTCTTTGTAGTATATATGAAAAATGAGGGTTTTTTTTTTAAGTTTACTAATTATAGATTACCTCAAGCATTAAGAAGTTTTTTGCACAGTATAAGAATACAAACAGTACTTCTACTTACTAATCAGGTTTATATGTCAATAAAAATATATCAAACTGCCTTCCCTCCTCTTTCAATTAGTTGGAGTTGGTGAGATTTCTCAGTATTCAACATTTACCAGTTTCAAACGTGAAAAGTCTAACTAGAGAATGCTAAAAATAATCTAAATATCCATTGTTTTAATAAGTAACTGACCCTTTGTAAAGGCAGATGTATGGAAAAGAAAGCATTGAATGCATTTGAACAGAGAGAAACTGGAATCTGCGAGTTTGTTTGCATGAATCCGAGTGGCAGAGCCAAGCCAATTCCCTCAGCAACCAGTTTGCTCTGATGTGTGAATTAGATAAAACCCTTCTGATAATTCTGAAATACTTCAAGAACCTGCACGATCTGTACACCTCATTCTACAAATGAAGAGATCTTCAATGGCCTACAAAAGAAAATGCAACTCTTACCCAACCAATATGTCAACTATAACAGGACTGCTGGGCTTTAAATAAATAATTTCCAGGAAGGACGAGAATGATTTGGCCAGCAGATGAATAAACTTCATGACAGAATGAGAGTTTCCTCAAGGCCCATGGAATAAATAAGTGGGAGACCTTTCAAAATTATCTTGTCAAAGGGGGTATGAGGAACAGTAACCTTATAGAAAAGGGAAGAAATGTGAGAAGCAGGCTGTTCCATCTCCTAGCATTCCAATCCACAGGATGAAGGAAAAGTCATCTAGTATCCCAAAGTTAAGCTCCTGAAAATAATAGTTTTTGCAGTTAATTTTAACTGGCTTAGTAGTAGCTTCCTATCAACTAATATAGTAAGTGGGTTTTATTTTTATATTCTAAAAATTTCATTTATTCACTTACTATATTTGATAGCATTACAGAATCTAAAAGTACACTAGTCAACATGTAACTCTTATTAAAACAAAAAAAAGCCTCAAAAGAAGTGATTCTTTTTATTTTTGCCTTCTATTCTCTACTTTTCTATATTGAATGTGTTGTATTGGTTGGGTTTTTTAAAAGCTTTCTTATAAGCACACCTTCATGATTAGGTGTTTCAAATGTATATATTTTCATTCATTCATTTAACTTCATGTATATTTTTGAATACTAAGTATACACTCATATTGTGGTAAACTCTGGGGGCCACATGCTTTTGTGGTCTCAAATAAGGGAGAGTTTTTAATGTGTTTATAATGAAGATGAAAAAAACTAATCAAAGAAATGATCAGCTGACATAAGACTTTTTCTGTACACTTCCTGAGGTACATATTAGCTGGAAGTGAGGAAGAAATTTCCAGCTACTACAGCCAAGATGTTTGCCTCTGTCCAGGTGGTTTTAGCGAGCCACATCCCATCCCAAGAATAAGGAACTCACTAGCAGTGAGGAGGAGTATAGACAAACACAGAGATTATAAAATCAATCACCAAACAGAGAGAAAAGGCTCTGGCCAATTTAAAATTATTCCATAGCGTAGAAATTAAATCTAAAGAAATAGCATTTCTTGCAAATTAAAACCATAATGAGATATCATCTCATGCCTGTCAGAATAGTTATCATCAATAAATCAACAAACAACAAGTGTTGGCAAGGATGTGGCGAAAAGGGAACCTTCATGCACTGTTGGTGGGAATGAGACTAGAGCAGCCAATGTGGAAAGCAGTATGGAGTTACCTTAAAAAATTAAAAACAGAACTTCTTCTGTGATTCCACTTCTGTGAATTTATTTGAAGAAATTCGAAACACTAATTCAAAAAAATATATACATGCCTGTGTTCATTGCAGCATTATTTACAATAGCCAAGTTCTAGAAGCAGTCCAAGTGCCCATCAGTAGATGAGTGGATTAAAAAAAACTGTGGTACATTTATGCATTGGGATACTACTTCGGCCATAAAAAAGAAGGCGGTCCTTACCCTTTGCAACAGCATGGATGGATGTGGGAAGCAAGAATACTAAGTGAAATAAGCCAGTCAGAGAAAGACAAGTACCATATGATTTCACTCACATGTGGAAGCTAATGAACAAAATGAACTAAAAAGCAAAATAGAGACAGATTCATAGAGAGAAGGCTGACAGCTTTTAGGAGGGAGGATTAGAGGGTCTGGGGACTAGGTGCGGGGATGTGAAGTGACTGAGCTGAAAGGAAAAATAAAGAGAAAAAACTCATGAACACAGACAACAGTGTGATGACTGCTGAAGGCAAAGCTGGGGGTAAAAGGGTATGGGGGATAAATGGTTGACCTGGGCTGGTGAACACACAATACAGTGTAGATATGATGTGTTGTGGAATCGTGCACCTGAAACCTGTTTAATTTTGTTAACCAGTATCACCTCCAATTAATTCAATAAAAAGAAAAAAATTAAAAGAAAATAAATAGCATTTCCTCATAAAGAAGATCATGGTATCAAAGGATAGGATAAAAAACCATACTTCCATTTTCTATTAGAAATTTCCTTTGATAATTACTATATCTCTTAAAAGGGCCACAGAGAAAGTCACCTATATTTGACCTTATCAAATATTTATAATCATAATAATAATCTCAAATAAAAATAGGATACATTTGAAAATAGAGGACATAATGGTCTGCTTCGATCCCTAAGTGTGATAAAAATGAAGTCTGTCCTCCACCTAATCTCCAAGGACACAGTGCAGATCTTTGCACGGTTTGGTAAACTCCCCGATACCGATATTCTGTCTCATCTTATGATGACAAAATGCTTAGAAGAACAGACAAATTGTGCCACTTAGGGTGGATATTTTAACTAGAGATCATGAACTCCAAAACTACTGCTCTCTACCTGTTATTCCCTATGAATCTGTAAAATCAACCATACCAGCCTAAAGCTCCCTTCAGGTGGTTCAACAAATATTTATCATTCAGAACCTACTACATGCCAGGCACTATAGAGTACAAAGATGAATTACATCCAGTTCCTGCTCATAAGGAGCTTACAGTCTGATAGTCTGGGTCTTACCTTCATAAAACACAAAATTTCAGACTCCCAAAAGCCCTTTCATTCAGACTCTAAAAATCCATGAATCCCACAGGAATCCAATCCAGTGCAAAACAAAGAGGAGTCCAGAACAAGTTCTTCGCACATGAATAATGTGTTATAATTGGACAATGATAGAATTTCAGAGCATACACAGATATAAACCACACAGCATCCATGGCTAATGACAGGGTAGCTGGGAAGACAGCAAAGTAGGTCCTAAAAAAGATGTAAATGATGATCTTGACGAACTAAAATATGCTGTTTGGTAGTCCAATTAGGTGTGCACTTCATATTCCAACCTGCAGTACAGCCTCTGGTACCTCAATTTCTGATCTTAGTTAAAAATGAAAGTAGAAGAATAACTATTTTTGAAACTATGTATACAGAATGAAGCAAGACAGCCAGATTTCATTGTTCAGTTATCAATCGCTTCATTGATTTCCTATTTAGAAAGGAAGTTACTCATCGTGGTCTTTGTCTCAGTGAAAAAAAGGAGAGAAAGGAGCACACAAGCAATTAAGGGTGGTTTGAGTTCCTTTTGTGGTTTTACGTTACCTCTGCATCATATCTGACTGCAGCAGAGAATAATGAAAAGGCATTCTCCACGGTGATTCCTCGCTTGATAATGCGCTGACAAAGTTTTTTCAGTCTGTTTTCACAGTAAGACGTCGCCAAATCCAAAAGGCCTAAAAGTTATAAACATTTTAATAAATTTTATAATTTTCTATAACTTATGCATATATACATTTCATTTTCATTCACAAGAGTTATGCAGGTAATTTGGCAGAAGTTTCTTAGTGATTAATACTCAGAGTTTTATTAAATAAGTTCTCTTTGTTACTTTCTATCCCCCTGACCTCCCAAACATCATACTCACTCTTATACTCACTCTATACAATTTTTATTATAGTACAAAGGAAGGGAAAAATAATGAAATTCCCCCTCTCATTTTGTTTCCAAAATGGCATGCTAAATCCATTATGAAGTTATACTTCAATATTAAAAAATTAATATAAGTCCACGGTCATAAATTGTGTCCATAATCATTAACGACAACCATGCAATGCTATTTTTAAAGATATTTATTTCAAATATTTTTTAAAAACCATATAAAAGCCAATAAACCTGAAACTTTTCATTTTTCAATACCATAAGAAGAGGAGGAGATATATTTCTGGCCATGTGATTTGGCCACTCCCAATGTGGCTGAAGTACCTATAGCATCTTCAGGCGGAAGGTCAACTGTGTCTGTGTAGAGGAATTGGAGAAAGGCACGATACACTGGGTAAGAAAACTGGTCTATTTCTATCACTTCTTTCATATCTTCATTCCAATAAGACTGGAACATGGATCGAAAGTGCTCACACCTAAAACAGAACAGCAAAAGTCAATTCAGTTGATGAAATAAGATGAACAAATATTACAGGTGTCTTTAAGTACTGTATTTGGCTTTGCACACACCAGGATCATGAATCTTTAGCTAGTACCCTAAAAAAGATTCCATGTGCAAGTATTTTTATATTTGCCTTTTACATACACTCACTTTCATTTTTGATGAGCACCTGCTATGATATATTAAGAATTATATGTAGAGTCTAAGAGTACCTAGCACTTTTGCACTACAACTGTTTCCATTTGACAGTCCTCATTCATATAAAGGCTCTTTGTTCAGTTTTTAAAGATGTACAGAAATGTATTTTAAACAAAGAAATTAAAGGAAATTCAGAAATGAGAGTTCAAACCTATCCCTATAAAGTAACACATTCAAATGATTCATCTGGAGTTCTGTTTTTGTTGTTGTTTTATGTAATCGGCATATTCTTAAAACTGTTTTAAATGTTAACTGGATTGCAGTTAAACTGATTATTGCTCTATTATCTTACAGGACAGTTTTCCTTCTTTTTCTGACTCATGTTCAAAATTGTTATCACTTCCTACTTTGTTTGTTTTTTTTTACTTTGCCCTGCTCCCTTTCCTCTCCTTCCAAGCCCGTTACTAATATATTTAGAGAACACATTCATTAGGATAGTCATGATTTCAAGAAAACCTAAGTGGGTCTTTGTGCATTGTATTAACATGTACAAATTCACCTGTATGAGAAACTGATTTCTGAATATCAGACTTTCTTAAAGTATAACATACCTTATAATTTTTAAAATAATCTTTTTAAATCCTCCTAAAATGATACAGTATAAATAAACATGAAATATTTTCAAACTTCATTCACAATACCAAAAGAATGTGACTCCACTTACCTAAGAAATTAGGTAAATTCATCTGAGAATTAACAAGAAATGGATGTCTAAGCAAGGAATAATACATAAAATGGGTCAGAAAACTATATACAAAAGGAATAGCCTGGTTGTCCACAAGTTCACAAACAGAAACATTAATTTTCAATTAATACTTTGGTGCAGATATTTTTTCCCTTAAGTAATGAATCATGTAAGATCTTTTTAATTCCCTTAAGCATGTTATTTTGTAAATAGGTTTTTAACTACATTTACAAATAGACTTGTAAATGGCTGGTTTAATTCTCAATGGTCTGACTTCATATGCCTCTTTCACTGCAATGGCAACATCAGTGAGCAACAGGCAACAGTCCAAACAGTTACTAATAAATACAAAGTTCCATCACATTTATACAAAGAACTCCTGACATACAGCTAAAAAAAAAATTTCTTTAATTGGGAATTAGATACCTCCCTGGGCCAGAAGACCAGCATACCTGACTGTGAGAGTTTCTGCTTGAGAAAAATCAATCTTTAAGAGCAAAAGGAGGCACACAGGGTCTATCCAGAAAGTATCCAGCTATGTAATAAAAAATACAGACATTTATTGAATAAGATACAAGAAACATTGTACATTGGACAATGGCACCTCAATCTCCTTAAAAGTAGGCACTTTGGGACCTCACACAGTTCTTCCAGCATCTCTTCCACTGTTCAAAACACTCAGCGAAATCCTTTGTTGGAATCATCATCAGCTGCCCTGCTGTATTTTCCTGAATCTCATTGATGGTCTGAAATCTCTTCCCTTTCAGCAGTGATTTTAGTTTGGGGAAAGCTAGAAGTCACAGGGTGCCAAATATGGGCCGTAGAGGGGCTGAGTCACCTGGGAGATTTGATGTTTCAACAAAAAACTCTCCACAAAACATGATGCATGAGCAAGAGTGTTGTCATGATGAAGCTGCCAAACACCAGTTGCCCATAGCTGTGGCCTTCCGAATCATCTGAAAAGTTTCTGCAGAGGAATGTTCAAGCTTGATGCAAAATTGCATGCAGATTAGTTGCTCTATTCAGTCATTTTGTATGCGATGGCTACACAGTACCTATGGTCACTCAACAGCATCTACCAACCCCACTGAATAATTCATTATTCCTGCATGAGCATTCCAGTCCACTCTCCTTGGCTGCCAGGTTATACTGATGTCACGCAAACTGTTCTCATTATATTAACAATGGCTGCACTTTTCCCTGACAGATCTCATATATATACTTTTCCCAGACAATCTTTTGTGGGTTTTTTTGACCATGTAAATAAGATTTTGATGGAAATAAATATTCACAAGATCCTTCATTTAAAAATATAAACAAATACCACATTATGCTTTTTCAAAAAGGCACATGTGTGCATGTGCACACCCACATGTGCATGCAAAACCCTTCAATGAGTGGATTGGTACTATCTGCAAAAATAAGTTGTGTCATTCCTCTCTACTGCCAAGGCTGTTTGTTTCTTATCAGCACCCAATATATGGAATAACAAAGAAAGATATTATAAAGAGAAAGTAAGGTTATCTCATGCAAAAATACCTGATTTTCAAAACAGCTTTATGGACATGGATATATTTCCCATCAATTCGAAACTTTAGATCAGCTGTTTCTGGACTGTCAAATTCTTTCTTCAGGGACTCTGCAACTGTTAAAAAATCTTCATGCTCTGAAGGTAACGAACACATAATAGAGAAAGCTGAGAAAACATATCCAAGATTTGGCAGACTTCAAAAAGATAATCATTAACATGATGAATAATTCCACTAGGTGATTTTCAAAAGAGTTCATGCCTTACTTGACAAATCCATTTCACAGTATTAAACTTAGCATCCTGAGTGTATAAACTACCAAGAAATACATATTTGAAAAGGCCAAAACCAATCATATATACTAAGTCATGAGAAATGTGTATTTTTTTAAAAAGAAAACATAATAGGTAGCCCATGATTATATAGCTACTTGTTAAAAACTGGAGTGATTTTTTTTCTAGGGCTAAGAACCTGACAATTTTCCTTGATTGGAACACTAAGACCACCTTTGCCCTGCTTTGGGGTAGTTTCAAGTGGTTTCTATATTCTGTTCAAGGTTTCCCAAGAAACAAACTCTCCATTTAAGTGATAATGTTAGCAGTCATGTTCATACACAGAGAAACATTTTCCCCTTGATATCTGAAATCTAAACATCCCTCTCAACCCTACGAATTAACGCACAAACAATAACCCTTACACACTATCTAAAAACAGCAAATTTACTTAGTAACAATATATACTCAAAGGGAACAGTTTTACAAAAAAGTGATTTCATTGCCTGATGAGAAGAATAGCTATTATGAATACAGATATATGTAAGCAGACTTGTGTTACTGTTAAGAGAAGTAAAGGCACTAGTACAAATCCATGTAACACTTTCTTGTGCTCTATATGCGTGGACAAAGGAAAACAAGTAGAAGGCTAACAGGGAAATAAAGTTCCAGAGACCCTCACTGGCACTGAATGAAGTTACTATGGATAGAGACTGGTTGTGACTGCCCACGAGATAAGTGTGGTGACTTAATCAAATAACCGAGCTATGTCTCTCAGTAACCTGTTACCAGGACAATTCTTATAGGAGAAACAACTACTAAAACCTCGGCTGAAATCTAACATAAACTTATCCATGAGCTAGCTTTATTATCAGAATCTCACAAGGAAGTACATCACTTGCCTGAGCCCTGTTACCTTCACCTATAGCCACCCGACACACAAACAATGTAGAGCTTTCTTGGCTAGAGAGGAAAGGTTAACAATCTCTCAAAAATCAGGCTTTCCCTGACCCTATAACCTGGATCATGAGTAAATAAAAGAAAGGAAATAACTAAGATGGGCAAAGAGTCCAGGAGTCCAGACTGCTACCGAAACCATCCAAAAAACAGCTGGTCACCAGTGTCTCTACTTCTGCATCTAGTCTTAATGGTTGAAATGACCCTTTCCTCCTCTTAGTTTCTGGCACCATCTGACTTTCTTCCTATTACTCATCTGAAATAATAAATTGAGAGGGAAAAAACACTCTGACTTAGTGGCTAGAGGGAAAGAAATCATCTAAGAAATATATTTGATGACCACATTTTTCCCAAGCTTAACATTAAAAAATGTTAGGATGTTTCTTCTGAAGGATGCCTTTTAGGATCAGGATTTTAAGACGCAAAAACCTGGGGAAGCGTTTTATAAACAGATGCACGTTATGTAGCATATGTTCTGAAGATGTGGATAAAGGCTGTGATGCATATATGTGATTATGGACAAATAGTCCCATTCTGTGAACTAAAATTTTCTTTTTTTAAAAAAACTGAATGTATTGGAGTGACACTGGTTAATAAAATTATATAGGTTTCAGGTGTATAATTCTGTAATACATGATCTGCATATTGTATCGTGTATTCATCACCCAAAGTCGAGTCTCCTTCCATCACAGTTTATTCCCCTTATACCCTCTTCTACATCCCCCCACCCTTCTTTCCCTCTGGTAATTACCAAAATATTGTTTGTGTCTATGAGTTTTTTGTTTCTTTTTGGGTTTTTTTTTTTTTTTCTTAATCCATTCACCTTCTTCATCCAATCCCTCAACTCCCTTCCCCTCTGAAAGTTGTCAGTCTGTTCTCTATCTATACAGATTCTGTTTCTATTTCGTTCGTTAGTTTATTTTGTTCACTAGATTCTACGTATTAGTAAAATCATATGGTTCTTAGCTTTTTTTGACTGACTGACTTCACTTAGCATATTCTCAAGATCTATCCATGTTGTCACAAAAGACAGTACTTCATCTTTTCTTATGGCTAAGTAGTATTGCATAGCATAATGTACCATACCTTCTTCATCCAATCCCCTATTGAAGGACTTGGTTGTCTCCATGTCTTGGCCACTGTGAATAATGCTGCAATAAACAAAGGGGTGCATATATCTTTTCCAATAAATATCTTTGAGTTTTTTTGGTAGGTATTTTTTTTGAGGAACTGCCATACTGTTTTACATAGTGGCTGTACCAGTTTACATTCTCACAGCACTGAATGAAGGTTCCTATCTCTACAACCTCTCCAACACTTGTCATTACCTGTCTTGTTAATTAATAGCCTTTATAACAGGTGTGAGGCAGTATCTCATTGTGGTTTTGATTTGCATTTTCCTAATAGCTAGAGAAGTTGAACAGCTTTTCATATATCTGTGAGACATTTGTATATCTTCTTGAGAGAGGTGTCTATGCAAGTCCTCTGCCCATTTTTTTAATTGAATTGTCTGGTGTTGAGTTCTTTATATACTCATATTTTGGATATTAACCCCTTGTTGGAGTTGTTTGCTAATATCATCTCCCATTAGGCTTCTTGCCCTTTTGTTCTGTTGGCAGTTTCTTTTGCTGTGCAGAAGTTTTTTAGTCTGATATAGTCCTATTCATTTATTTTTGCCCATATTTCCCTTGCTTTTGGGGTCAAACTCATAAAATGTTCTCTATGACCAATGTCCGTAAGTTTAGTACCTATGTTTTCTTCTATGTAATTTATTATTTCAGATCATGTATCTAGGTCTTTGATAAATTTCTGAATTAATTTTTGTACATGGGGACAAACTATAGTCGAGCTTTATTCTTTTGCATGTGGCTTTCCAAGCACCATTTTTATTTATTTGAGAAACAAATGCCAAGTTTATTTTCATGTCTTGCATTTGAAGTATCCCTTGATGACATCCTTTGCCTGAGACTCTCTGCCATAGTCCTTAACCATAAAAGAACTGCCACCAACAACTTGGTGGGGTGTTCCCTCTCTGTTAATTTTACAGAGGTCTACCCATACCCTTAGTTTCTTACTGCCATCAACCTTAATTAGGTTGACTTGGTCTTCACCACAAAAAAAGCCTCCACCAGCTTGACATACAGAGGCCCACCATAGTTGGATGCAAGCACACAAAGGCTTTGGCAGCTTTAGAAATTCCATGTGCTAGGCCATCGTGGATGAGGGAGGTCTTCAGCACATCTTGTAAAGCAGTATTAATGTCTGTTACACCTCCAGCAGTAATGCCTTCCTTGGTCATGGCAGAGGGTTATGGGTGGAGCTGAATCTTGAATGTATCCAAGCCTCAACCTCTGTGCAACTCCCCAGTGGCAGGAAAAGAGTTCCCAGAACCATTTACTGAAGAGGTTTTCTTTTCTCCATTTGTGTGTTTTTGGCTTGTTTGTCAAAAATTATTTGCCCATATACCTGTGCTTTTATTTCCGGGCTCTCAGTTCTGCGCCACTGGTCAGGGTGTCTGTTTTTATACCAATACAATGCTGTTTTGATTATCGCAGCTCTGTAGTATAATTTGAAGTCAGGTAGTGTGATACATCTGGCTTCATTCTTTTTTTCTCAGGATTTCTTTGGCTATTTGGGGTCTTTTGTGGTTCCATACAAATCTGATGTTTTCTGTTCTACTTCTTTAAAAAATGACATTGGGATTTTGATGGGGATTGCACGAAATCTGTATATTGCTTTGGGTAACATAGCCATTTTAGCTATGTTGATTCTTCTAAACCATGAACATGGAATATCTTCCCGTTTCATTGTGTCTTTTTAAATTTCTTTTAATAATGCATTGTAATTTTCAATGTATAGGTCCCTCATACCTTTTGTTAAGTTTATTCCTAGATATTTTAACTCTTGGTTGCACTCGCAAAAATAATTTTTTTTTTTCATTTCTTTCCCTGAAGTTTCATTGTTAGTATACAGTAAAACAGTGGATTTTTGTACATTGACTTTAGATCTTGCAACTTTACTGTTTATTGTTTCTCACAGCTTTTTGGTGGAGTCTTTAGCATTTCCATAAACAGAATCATGTCATCTGCAAAAAATGACACTCGTACTTCTTCCTTACAAATTTGGGTGCCTTTTCTTTCTTTCTCTTGCCTGACTGCTCTGGTTAGGACTTCGAGAACTATTTTGAAAAACAATGTTAAGAGTGGGCATCCTTGTCTTGTTCTGTATTCTAGAGGAAAAGTATTCAGCTCTTCAAAATTGACGATGATATTCGCTGAGGGTTTGTCACATATGGCCTCTATTACATTGAGGTACTTTCCTTCTATATCCATTTCATTGTTTCAATCATAAACGGATGCTGTATCTTATCAAATGCTCTTTCTGCATCTATTGATAAGATTCTATGATTTTTATCCTTTGTTTTGTTAATGTGGTGTATTACACTGATTGATTTGCATATGATGAACAATCCTTGTGCCCCTGCAATGAACCAAACTCGATCATGATGCGTGATTTTTTTTAATGTATTGTTGTATTCGATTTGCTAGTATTTTGTTTAGAATTTTTGTACCTTTATTTTTTTAAAGGTTTTATTAATTTTCAGAGAGAGGAGAAGGGAGGGTAAAAGAGGGAGAGAGAAACATCAATGAGCAAGAGAAACATCAATTGGATGCCTCTTGCATGCTCCCAACTGGGGACCTGAACTGGAACCCAGGCATGTGCCCTGACTGGAAATTGAACTGACAACCTTTCTGTTTGCACACTGGTACTCAGTCCACTGAGCCACACCAGCCACGGTGATTTTTTTTTTTTTTGCAAAGATACTGGTCTATTTGTGTGTGGGTATGTATGTGTTATCCTTGCCAGACTTTGGTAATCAGAGTGATGTTGGCCTCATAACATACGTT